ACTTTGACTTTAGCAGATGTTGAAGGGTATAGTATACTTTATTTATAGATTGTATTCTAGATTGTATTTCTTCTCTCAGCATGTTAGAGCAGTTGAAATTTGCACCCAAGTACTTAGATGTTTCCGTTCGTTTGATTTTCATATTAGCGACTTGCATGTGGCCGGAGTTTATATTCTTTCCATGTCTAATTAGTATTCGTACAGAATAGTAAACATTTAAAAACATTTTATGTTTTGCATCCTTCAGTCAGTCGGTGGTAACTAATAACTAGGAATGAAAGAATCTTAAGTATTATAACAAGTAACTAAACTTGGAAATTGTCACTGACAGCTTAGTTAATGCATAAAAGCGGCATTAGCTTTCAACAAAACCAATCGTTCCATGTTGTCAGCATTAAGGCCGTGTACGCAGAAGCGGGTGTTAGGTAATTACTATTCGTATTCGGCCCGACCGCAACTATTCCGCCGAATACCGAATTGTCAATAGGTTCATTATTCGGCCCCGAAGCGAATACGAAGCGAATATTCGGTACAGCCCTATTAGTAATATTATCCTCAACCACACAGTGTATTCACAAAAATGTTCTTGTCCACCCAGAATATTTAGACTATTTTGCGACTTTGAGCCCTTTTTGAATATTTAATATTTAAATTAGAAAATGTTAACCTCGTATATATTATCAGGTATACTATACTAGCAAACGAAAAGATCATATTACATACAATGTAGCATTTCATTTTCCTTTTTAACTCTGAGATGCTGCTTCTCGAAAACACAACATATTGAACATAAATCAAAAGAGAATCACATAAGGAACTTATTAAATCTAGTCCAAGAAAACATCCCTTGTAAGTAAATCAAAAGTAAAGGTAAAAATCACTTATTGTTTTTCAGTGTCGACAAAAATATAGTCAAACACACATGAAACACATGTGACAGCCAATTTGCGTTCGCCTAAGGAAGTGACATTAGAAAATTAGCCAGCCACAAAGCCTACATTGCAGAAAGCCTTAGTGGGACGATCTGGGGATTTACTTACCAAATCTCGAAGCCGACGAGATGTGGTCGTATAAAATTAAAGTACCAATATTCATGTCTTTGTAGTTTAGACAAAAAAAAAATTGTGCATATTTTATAAAATGTAATTAGACGTATGTTGGCAAATCCTTAACGAATAGTAAACAGGTAAAACTGCCTTTGAGACCTCGGAAATTTAGAAGTGTTTCTACAGCAGAATGTTAAAATTCCGTGGAATGTGATAGGGGGTAATCCGTCTGTTTTTAAAACGGATAAACCCCCTTGCAACTTCCGGGGCCCCATTATGGGGGAAATAAGAATAGACCCACTGCCGCCCCAACAAGCATGGCGAAGGAGTTGACTAGTTGGGGGTTTACTTCAAAGTCTAAGTGCATCTCTTTAAGAGGCAAGAACCAAAAGTCTACACATAAATGAGTCACATGTAGAACAGATGTGCATTTAACAGATTTTAGAACAAGTCTAAAGTCCAAAGGAGGTTGTACGACCAGAACATTCCGTCAGAGTTGACAGCCGGTGAATGCGAAGAAGAAAACGAATAAAGAACAAAGAGAAAAAAAATAGCACAACCATCAGATGCAGATGTCATTATCTTTCGCCATATTTGGGGAGCCCGACTTTCAGAGCTCCAGCGCCATCTGTCCCCCCGCAAAAACTATTCTAGGGGTGGACTGAATTCCCACCCTGTATATACACACACGCGAGCGCGCGCGCACACACACACACACACACACACACACACCTTCACACGTCTATTAACCTGGAATCTTTGCTATGGCGGTAGCTAGACACCGGTCTGCCGGCCTAAAGTTCAATGGTTCGAATCCTTGCTAGGAAAATTTGAGCTGTCAAAAGATTCTTGGCTTCCAGTTTTGACCCAGCCTAAAATTTATAACAAAAAATGTCCTAGGAAGTTAAGGAGCTGGTGTGATGTTGATCACATCACCCATAGAGCCATATACTCAAAGAGGGGAGGGGTGTTGGGGACCTGGCAAATAGTCAAAGGGAGCGTGGGGGTCTTGCCCGATACTCAGATAGGACGTGGGGGTCTTGTCATACACTCAGTGTGGGGGGGGGGGAGGGGGGGGCGGGGGTGATCTGAAAAAGGATGGTTTGTGTTAGTCGGTGTTTATCTTACACCCTAACATTCCTATACAATTAAACTTTACCAGGAATTCGCTACGAAATCTTGGAATCCTCGAGATTGAGTGAAATAAAAGAAAAAGACCCAAATTTCTAGAATAATTGTAATAATCTGAATAACATTACACTGCAGAGTTGTACATGAAGTCGAGGAGGAGGTTTTATTGGACACCACGCAAAATTACAATTCTAACGCACAAAGAATCTCTTCTAAGGCTTCTTTTGGTAAGTAGTTCTCGGTTTATTCACTAACTTCCTATAGCTCCTCGGCAAACAGTGTTCTGTCTTCATCGCCTGAATCTACCCCTTGTTATATTGGGGTATGGTTGGGAGCAGGGTGCGCACTGTCGGCTGTGCACGTTAGGGTTTTACTTTTCCCTTGGCAAGAAGAAAAAATCCATCACCTTACGGAGGATTCGAACATGGTTGAGAGCCCTGTCCGTTTCCAGATAGTTGATTCTTTGTCTCTCTGGCAGAGGTGCTCTGACTTTAAAGGAATCATATCTAATTAGTGTGGTTTACAGAAGAATGCTTAGAATACCTTGGACAGCCAAAAAGAGCAGCCAAGAGGTTTTGAAAGAGGCGGGAGCCAGAAGACAACTTTTCACAGACATCAGAAGGAGACAATCATCATTATTCGGCCATGTTATGAGAAGAGGGAAAATAGAATCAGTTGTGATCACTGGAAAGATCTGTGAAAGGAGGGAAAAGGAAGACAACGAGAGAAGATTCTTGACAGTCTTGTTGCATGGCATGGAGGTGTGTCGGCCACGAACTGATACATGCTGCAGGAGATCGTGGACTATGTAGAGGCATGATCGCCCACGCAAGTCAGCAAGGCACCTGATGATGAGGCTGATCTATTTAGTCGCCTTCTAGGACATGCTAGTTAGGTAGCAGCGGGTCTATTCTTTATTTTCCACAATGGAGCTGTGAAAATTACACTGGGAAAACTTTGGATATTATTTTATTCTTTTATGCATTATTGTTTTTGTTATAATTCATTGAGAAACCGATTAAACTTGTTTATTTTAAACAAATTTGTAATAATTTTTTTTGTGTATTACAATATCGACTTACCGAGGTTCCCAGTTGCTGCAGGAGTTAAGTAGAAAAAAAATCCTTTGCATTAATTTCGACAACAGTATGACCGTCGCACCGTAAAGAAACACACGGCAATCTGACGATGACTGGCACCTTTCCGTCTTTCCAGAAGATAGTGTTATACTGTGCTATGAGGAAGCATGAAACTCATAGCCCATGGCAATGGCGAATGTGACTAGCAAAACCAGCCCACATTAAGAAAAGTATTCCACAATTATGGCAACGGATTTTAGGACCATTGTTGCTCTCAGCTCTTATCCTTTTTTGCAATCATTTCTTCCTTCATCTCTCGTTCGCTTCCTGATATACCCCCTCAACACAATGACAATCCAATCTACTTAACGTAAAACTGTCAGTAAAAACCACACGTAGACAATAAAATGGATCTGGTTTGCAACATCTTCTTCTTTTTTCGTTCGCTTAAAATAAATTATCTATTCTGCGAAGTTGTTTCTAGTATAAACTTCACTGTCTTTTGTAATTCAGTCAGCGAGCCGTTAAGTTGGACTTGCACCGATGTTTCTCTTGGCCAAATGTGTTGCTGTACCCTCAAGAGGATAAACAACTAAATTTATGTTTTTTTTTTTTTTTCAATGGGGGGAATACTTTAGATTCAGAAAATGGTGCGTGGCTTGTTGCCACAGGATTAGGGATGCCTTAGGTCACTACACCAAAAAAAATTATTTTTTTATTTACAGACTTAGAGCAGTTATTTCATAATGGTCGTTTGTAGAGATACATGTTAATACATTTGTATACTTTAAGTGTTAAAAAATCATAGTTGTCATGGCAATAGTCGCCATCTTGTGAAAAAAACAATATGTACTTAAAATCCTAAAATTTTAAAAACAAAGATAGGTATTCAACAATAGATTATGGATCCATAATCTTTAATTCAATTTAGAGGTACAGGTCTAGTTTATTTACTTTAAACATGTTTTTAAATATTTTTCGTAGAATTTTAAAATGTAGGTTTATTGAAAAAGTCTAAAAAATCGAGCATCATAAGACAATAATCAAAGTTTAGAAAACAAAAACTTTATAAAATCTACTTTTAGATAGACCAGTCCTTATAATATTGTTTATGGAATAGGCATACAAAATTTCGTGTTTCTACTCTTTATATTAGCTTAGATTTTAGGATTTCACACACACAGCAAACTGAAATATAGAGATTTGAGAAAACTGACTTTTAAACATTTTTTTTATCTTAAAAAAGTGCACGCGGTGGTGTCGTTAGTATTAACTTTTAAATGCTAAATTGTTTACAAATGACATACATTTTGTGTGTAATCTATTCTACGAATGCCGAACTTTACAAAAACGAACACATTGAAAAAGTGATATTTTTGTCATAAATTGGGAAAAATGCCGTGTAGTGACCCCTTAATCGCCTGTGCACTTGCTGATCTGTTTGTGGCTGCTGCTTCCGTCGATGATGAGCTGTATTTCTAAAGTCGGACTGTTTGTATTAGCACTTCTGATGGCTGTCTCATGCTTTTAATGCCTGTGTATGCTGGTGGACACTCTGAGACTACTGTCTGCGTCACGTTTCCCACAAGAGACAGTGATGGACATTCAGTGTCTTTTTCGTTGCCCAGGAGTGGAGCAACTATGGGGTGACCTGTTTGCTACGAAGCTGAGTCTCAGGTTACCAGGTTACAACAAGCTTTAACATTTTATTGTTATAGATTTTAATACTGGCTTCGCAAAGGAGCACGGAGCTCGTCTGCAACTGTCTCGGCTGATCGCAATCTTGGTGAAAAAAGCTTTGGTGACGTGGCGTAGCCGTATAATTACCCTGGTACAGCTGGCGCTTCCGGGGCTGTTCACGTTTCTAGTCATGCTTTCTGAACAAGCTAATAAGGAGGACCTGAGGGAATTAGCTCTGACTTTGAATATTGTACCCTTTGGTGAGACCTACATCCCATTCACTGATGGACATACTGCTAAGGGCACTTTGGTAGCTGACCTTTACAAAAGACAGTTCTGCAATTGTCATAACACGGAATATATTCGATTAAAGGACGTAAGTGTTTATTTTATTCTTTCTTTTTCACATTTCACATTTCTGTTTTTTTTTTTTTTTTTTAACTTTTTTTTTAAAAACCTTTTTTCTCCAGTATTGTAGCCTGAAAGATTAATGCCCAGTCCCACCATTCAGATGCGAGTTCAACAGTGGCAAGCCCTCCTTCAACATGATAAAACAGTTATACTATTAAGGCAACAAAAAAGAATATGAACGAAGAAATTACAAGAACTATTTGAACAATACCTGTAACTAAGTTCACCGAAAACCAAAGACTAAAATAGTTTGGCCATTGAACAGGCATGAATCTAATGATGCTAACAATGAGGGCATACAACATGCGATTAGAAAGACCCAGGTAAAGGAGACAACCAAGAAGAAGATGGATTGAAGGAATCCCTGGTATCTTGAGGCACCACAATATCGCAGCACACCGGGCAACCAAGCGCGCCCTAGCTCGGAAGCCCATGATCTGTTCTGCAACGCCTAGCTGCACAGTGCAGAATGGGGACAACAGAAAGGTGAAGGCATCAGCTGGTTACAGTGCAGAATGGGGACAACAGAAAGGTGAAGGCATCAGCTGGTTACAGTGTAACCTGCCGTTATATGTGTGGAAGAAATAAATCGACATCACAGCGATCGAAATATTCACATAAACGCTCCGTCTCTGTCTTCAGCAGCAAGCACTGAGTTCCAACTCTGATGGTACCAGTGACAGTCTGATTATCTGGCTCGCCCTCTCCCTGAATCGGAGCCGCTGTGGTGTAGCGGCTAGCTGCTCGCCTGCGAATCAGAAGGTCGTGTGTTCAGGTCCTGACGGAGCTGACTTTTTTCAAAAAATAACCCTGGCTCTCAGGTCAACTCAGCCATTTAATGGGAAGTAAAGGTGACCACGTGATGTTGACCACATCGTACACCGAGTGCCGACTTGTCTTTAAAATGTAGATCTAGCCCTATATGTCCACTACACCTGAAGGAGTAGAAAAGAGTCCTTTAAAAGGTCCTTTAATGAGTGTTGAGCATCGGCCAGATCCCCTGATAATTCCTTCATGTGTGAACGAATGAGGTTCTCTACTATTTGCTTGGCTGCGATTATATTTGTATCTTCTATTTAATAACCATTTAATTATGCTGTTAATTTGGCACTGTCGTATTAATTAGAGAAGTGAAAAGCAGCTTAAAAAAGTATAAAAATAACCTGGCTCATACCTGGCTCATACCTGGCTCACAGGAACAGGCAGAGCAGACATAAAGTGACACTGCTACCGGCACCACCGACATTTGACCTTTGACTGCTGAAGATGGGAACTGGTCATTTGTGGGAATGTCCAGAGTGCTGTGAAGTCGGTGCTTAACTTAGTGCAACAGATTACCATGAAAATGCTGTCGTGATTACCAGTTCTAGTTGTACGTACCATAATCAACAACAACAACAAAATAACATATCGCATGTATAAAATATTTTTTTTTTAAACATACATTTGACATAATGATATGTTGCTAATCGAAAGTTCAAATAATTTTGATCATATTTTTGTAAAGTAATTAGAGGATTCACGCTGAAATGAATTATGCAGTTCACTGCAGAAAATAGGGTTAAAATAAATTGTCAATCTTACGGAAAAGGAAAGGTCATGAAAAAATATGAAACCGGCATCAAAACCATTCGAGAAAGGAAGACCTGCTTTCAAAATCGTATTGGGAAGAGCACACAGAATATCCGTATTTTTCCTTTTAGACCTGCCCCTGACACTGCTTGAAGTTAAAAAAAAGGGGAGGGGTGAGGAGAAGAAGGATGGAGAGGAGGAGGAGAAGAGGCAGAAGCAGGGGAGAGGTAGACAAAGAACAGAAAGAGAACAAAGAAGAACGAGGACAAGAAAAGAGTCATGGAGATTGTTAAAAAAAAAAAATAAAACATTTAGAAATAATGACAACTGTTCTAAACAGGTCTTTTTTTTCATATTTGAATTGGTGCAGGGAGAGACATTTGATAACGTCACCGGGCGCAAGGCCATTGAACTGACTAGATCAGATTACGTCAGGACAATGATCATTGGCATGGAAGTGGTGCCAGCATCATCACCGGAGAAAGTTGCAGCCATTGCCTATTACAACGTTCAACCGCTTCACTCGGAGGGCATTTCTGTAAGTCACCGTGTTATAGATACTGGTTTTGTCTTTTCTTCTCTGTTACGTTCTTTATCATCATGAGTTGATACTTCTGTCTGTTATTGTTGTGGGGAGAAACAGTTTACGATCCATTGCTTGATGAGCGGAAATATTTATTGTTAGTCCGTGTTGATGTCATTTGTAGTTGTTCTTACTAGATGACCAAATTATTTTATCATTTGTTTCTCAGTCCGTCTGATAATATAATTTCTAGCTTTGTCTCGAACAGTTAAGTTGGAAGTTTTTCTCGGGCATCTCATCTCGCTGGTGTTAATTTTACTTAGGGTAGCCTTTGATAGTGTCAAAGTCTGGCGCTGGTAGCTCGGTGTTGGTATGAATATGCAGTTTATGATATTTCTTGGCCGTCGTACTTACGTGTATTAATCACGGGGTCAGTTGGTAGATTAGTGCATTGGCTCGCTGGCATCATGTTTCTATTTCCCAGTGTATTCTCCTGTCCTCCGACAATATGCTTCCTAGAAATGTAAATTCTTTCATGTGATTCAGACAGGTAATACTCAATCCTACATGCAAAGGACTAATAATTCTGCTGATCTGCATTACTTCAGTTTTAGTAGTATTTTTTTTTTTTACATGTAATATCTTGTGCATGTTGAACTTAGCTTGTTAAAATGTTCTTGCAGTCTACTTCCCTCATTGTAAAACAGGCACTGCTCATCTGCACATAGTAGCTAGTTTTTTGTGTGTGGATCTAATTCTTCCGCTGGGAAATTAAGTACCTTATTCTCTGGATTATCTCGATCGACGACTTTAAAGCTGGCTTCTATTCCATGTATATAGTAAATAAGAGAGGAGAGGGCCAATATCCATGGCTCACCACTGTATTGATTGTAAACACATCAGCAACATAACATAAACATTTTTGTTACGTAATGATTACTTAGTGTCAGAAAAATGTCACTGATTAAAAGTTTCCGTCATTCACCGATCCATCAACCTGTCACACTGCGTGTCTTTGAGTCACAAGTTTCTGTTGACTGATCAGCCCCTCTACTTTTGCAGTAAACTTCGTGGCTGCATGCCTAAAGCCTGTCCAGTCTGTCAAGTTGTTTTTTTTTTTTTTTTTTTTTTCAGTATCCAGAAACCATGAGTTGTTAACTCTTTGGCTCGGTACTATGGATATCGCAACTCTTCGGCCTTGATTCCATGATAGATACCGTAAATCTGGGAGAAAATGTGACTTTTCTGCTTACCTCCGGGCGTGAACCGAGACCACAGGAAGTTCGTCACCCGGTCGCCGCGCAGAGGGTTTTAACCAACTGCGTTAGCGAGCCGAGCTGTCAAGTTCTACAACAAGGTCTTTCTTAGTCTGCTTCCTCTCCTCTTCCCATCTACTGAACCCTGTGGTAATGTTTTTTTGAGAGGCACTTGGATCTTATTACGTGTCCCTACCACTGCATTGTCTGTCTTCACTGTAGTTAAAAGAGGCTTATAGTTGCCATGGTGACTGTATTGTATTGAATATATAGAATAAATGTTACCAGATTTCAGTCTTTCCAAACCACATGCGCTTTAGGAATTACATCACGTGACCATGCTGAATTGTTGTTTTTTCCCTCCTTTATTCCTGTTCCCTTAGTGACCCCCACCCCACCATTCAACACATTACATGACATGACATTCTGAACACCGAATCCGCCACAATGTCTGTAACATTCATGTTCCGCTTGTACACGTCTTTATATTGCAGTTGAGGCCGACCTATCTGTGATACCCAGTGAAGAGGTCCTTAGGGATTCTTCCATCCTCTTCCAAAAGTGGGGCTGAGTTAACGTAGTCGATAGGAGACTTGCCTTCAAATCCAACTGCGACTCGCTGAAGCCCACGGCCGGTGTTCGAAACCGGGCTGTTCCCGGGGTTCACCTAGCCTCTAGGTAATGGGTACCAGAGTTAACACTCTGGGGTAATGGGGAAACGTCGCTGTAGCTACAGAGTTGCGTGCAGACGGCGACACAGGCGGACAGTTTCTTATCAGCTGTCTGTACTGGTGGCAGAGAACTTATGGTTTATAACCGTGTGCAATGACGCTGGTTCACATCTCACGACTTCACCTTTACTTTACCAAGTGTGACCTAATAATTAGAGCCTTCAAAGACAGACCACCGAGGAAACTGTCGCGATTCCTGTTATTTATAACACATCATTGTTTGTGATTGTGTGCTGCCACTTTATGCTGAGTATTCTTCTCAGGCATGTACTTGGAACGCTGTTCACCCATTTCCTCTAGTGCGAATAGGTCGACATATGTGTCACTGCTGTAGAGAACAGTATAATGACTGAAGTGCCTGATTGGGTGACAGAAGGTGTTTGTTATAACAAGTTTTTGAAAATAGTCTTCCGTGAGTTTTTCTTTCCTGTTTCTATAGGGTGCATGTTAATAGGAAGTGGTCTACTGTGTTTTTTTCTGAAAACACTCTAATTATAAGGATGCTCTAAATGTGGCTTTTTAGTATCCATGTCTTAATCTCTAAAATGTGTTATTTGCTGGAATTTTAAGGTTGTCTGAGACTTGCGATATAGGGTGAGTTCTTTCAAATTGTTGCACTGCCTTCTGCTGTAGCATTCATTTCCCACTGTCTCTTCCACATTCCTGTAAAAAAAACTGTTTCATTGTACTCGTCCTCTAACTGTTTCCTTGCTTGTTTCTATTATATTATACCTGCTGATTCTTCTTTTTGTGCGCACACGCACACACACACACACACAACAGCTTTGACGGGCTGGCTAAACCAGGAGAGCGTAGCCGACCTGGTTCTAAACCATTCGGGGATTGGGATATACATACCCTTCACTTATAGGCTGGACGGCAGATTGTGCGGATGAAACCTTTTATGGTTCATGTCACAAGAGTGTGGTTACCAGCAGGCTCTGTGGAGAGTTTCGAGAGCAAGGCAGGACACTCAAGACGCCTTGGTCATTCACTGCACCTAGGTCCATTTCCAATTGTCTCGATATTGTTCTGCCATTGAATCAAGATGGACTCTGGCGAGAGAGGGAGGTCGACAAATTGCACAACTCTTCCTCGTTTAAATCCGTCCTTGCGCAAGTCACTTTCATCCAATTCTATGTAGTCGACGGATTCACTTAAATTGGCAGTATCGTCTGGAATAGAAGTGGTATCTTTCTGCTGACCAATCTGATGGTTTACAGAACTGTAATTCTTCCAGTACTGCTCTACGCTTGCGAAACGTAGACTGTGTATCGGCGCCATGCTAAAATGTTAAATCAATTGCATATAAACAGTCTCAGAAAGCTACTCAAAATCAAATGGCAAGATAGAATCCCGAATACTGTAGTTGAGGGATAGAGATGCCTAGAATCCATGCGATACTAAAGAACTATCAGCTGCATTGGTCTGTTACCTCGCCCGCATGCCAGACTATCGCCTCCCAAAAAGAGTATGTATGGCTGGCTCCAGCAAGGGAAGAGGAGCCAGAGAGGACAGAAAAAACGCTACAAGTATACTCTCAAATTTGCTCTCAATTCTTTTGGCATCAACACAGCAACAATAGAGGCTACTGCACAAGATTTGTCTGGATGGCGTAACCCGCTCACATACGGTACATCAGCCCGCCACGCAGAGGAGGTTGCACAGGCAGAGAAACGGAGACAGACAAGAAAGAACAGTATCGCTAATCCCATACCTACTGCGGCTACCACCTGTTGTCCACACTGCATAAGGACTTTCCAGGCTCATATTGGACTAATTAGCCACCTTCAACCTTATAATCATTTATCATTACTACTTTGGATGAAAGGGGGATCGCCGTGGCCGAGCGGTTAGATGCTCGTCGCGGATCGAAAGGTCGTGGGTTCGCTCCCTGGCGGAGCCGGACTTTTTTCAAACATGACCTTGACTCCCAGGTCGACCCAGCCTTGAGTGGGTACCGGGTGCGGTCCTGGGAAAGTAAAGGCGGCCGACGTGATGCTGACCACATCACCCATCTTGTGCCGATTTGTCTATAGAAATATAGGTCTAGCCCTATATGCCCTATACGCCTAAAGGCATGGAAAATGGGTCCTTTAATTAATTACTTACTTACTGACTTACTTTGGATGAAAAGTGGTCTTCCTCACTCGTGATGAACTAACATCAAATTTAAAAAACAGTTAAACATTGATGGAAAAGATTTACGAATAATAAAGAATCTGTCATGGCAGCACAGAGCAGCTATAAGGATTAACAACTGTTTAGGTATATTTCAAAGCATAAAGAGGGGCGTACGACAAGTATCACCTGATTTGTTTTCAATATACAGTGAATATATAATGAGATCTTTAAATAATATGCCCGGAATTGTGGTTGGTGGGCACAATATAAACAATTTACGTTATGCTGATGACACAGTGTTGATAACAATATGTCAGAAAGAACTACAGGAGATGATATACATTGTGGTGGTAGAAAGTGGATGAATGGGCCTCGGTTTGAATAATGGGAAGACAGAAGTAAAGGTGGTATCAAAGAGACGAATTTGTTCTAAATGTGTAGGAAAAGTCTATGGTGTTATTTTGGGACAAGTACAGATATGTAAGTATCTGGGCACGTGGATAACATCAGATGGAAGATGCATAACTGAGATAAGAAACAGAATAGGACAATCAAAAACTGCATTTTATAAAATGAAGAACATCTTGTGCAATATATCTTTGTCATTGAGAATTAGAAAAAAGAATTCTTGCTTGCTACATACATCCAGTTTTAACAAATGGCTGTGAATCTCGGACAATTGGTAGGCAGGCCAAACCATTTCTTGAGGCTTCAGAGATGTAGTTTTACAGAAGAATGCTTAGAATACCTTGGACAGCCAAAAAAAGCAACCAAGAGGTTTTGAAAGAGGCGGAAGCCCGAAGACAACTTATCACAGACATCAGAAGGAGACATTCATCATTTTTCGGCCATGTTATGAGAAGAGTGAAAATAGAACATGTTGTGACAACTGGAAAGATCTGTGAAAGGAGGGATCGAGAAAGACAACGAGAGAAGAGTCTTGAAAGTCTTTTTGCATGGCATGGAGGTGTGTCGGCACACGAACTGATACATGCTGCAGGAGATTGTGGATTGTGGAGAGGCATGATCGTCCACCCAAGCAGATTGTGGAGAGGCATGATCGTCCACGCCAGTGGGCAAGGCACTAATAATGTTGATGATGATGATGATTGACTAACAACAACAAACACAGTAATCGCCCAGCAGTTAAAGTGTGTCAACGTGTACGATATTTGCGGTCTTTGAATACATTACGGTAGCAATGTGTTGCATGGAGCTTTTAAAATTACAATGTGTATAAACTTGTTCATACTAAATTAATTCAGAGACAAAAGAGAAGCATACAAGTTAGAAGTAATGTATGAAGTTCCCACAGATGCTCCAAATTATTCCCATTCGCCTCTAAACACTTTTCATAACCATCTAACAACACATAGTTACCTTAATTAGATCTAAGTATGGCGGAATATGTCATGCAATGGTGACGTTTTTTAAACTAACAGGTAGGTAGGCAGTTGAACCCCACCAGGACATCATACACGCGATAAACGCCTGGTGACAATAAGTACCACCATACAGATGTGGATCACCCCTGGGGAGGTCACAGAAATCCCTTTCAGCTGTTAGGTCATAGATATACCCTGTCTTTATTCAGGACCCCCGACCGAAGCCAGGGTGAGGCTTCAAATATAAAAAAAATTGCATCCCACATAGGTACGACTTTGTAATATAATTATGAATACTTTCTGCACATAATAATAATTGGGAGCCGCCGTCGTATAGCGGCTAGATATAGCGGCCTTCGGATTAAAAAATAACTTCGGCTGCCAGGTTGACCCAGTCATAGGTATCAGGAAAAGTTATGGGAAGTAAAGACGGTCGGCGTGATGCTGACCGCATCACCCACCAAGTACGGGTTGCTCTATAAAAAAAATATGTCTAGCCATATAGGCGCGAAGGTGTAGAAAAGGAACCTTCGGTGCTTTTCCATAGTAATTTGTTTTCTATAATTCAACTAGACTTAAGGCCCCTTAACTAGAAAGTTATAACTTAAGGCCCCTCCTCTAGAAAGTTATAACTTAAGGCCCCGCTTCTAGAAAGTTATAACTTAAGGCCCCGCTTCTAGAAAGTTATAAATTAAAGCCCTGCTTCTAGAAAGTTATAACTTAAGGCCCCTTCTAGAAAGTTATAACTTAAAGCCCCGCTTCTAGAAAGTTATAAATTAAGGCGCTACTTCTAGAAGATTGTACCTTGAGGCCCCGCTTCTAGAAAGTTATAACTGAAAGCCCTGCTTCTAGAAAGTTATAACTAAAGGCCGGCTTCTGGAAAGTTATAAATTAGGGCCCTACTTCTATAAAGTTATAACTAAATGCCCGCTTCTAGAAAGTTATAAGGCGGTTGCGGGCACCCACCCCACCCCTTTTCTTTCTATGTTTCATGTGCGTTAACGCTCATGTGTGCAGAAGTTGATTCTGTTTTTTCCACATTTGATACCAGGTCAACTACGTGGTAAACGCTATGCTTCAATCTGTCCTGAACACATCATTCGCCATCAAGTCCGCCATCGCCCCACTCCCGCCTCCGTCACCAAAACATCGGAGAAACAGCGAAGACGATCCAGATGATCAGGCTGTTGGCTTTACAGTCGCCATAAGCGTGGTTTTTGCAATGTCTTTCATGACCACGTTGTTCATTGCCTCACTTATAAAGGAAAGGCAGGTGTGTATATTTATCATTTTGGTCGATGAAAATAGAGGACATTGAATGAAGAGTTGCGTCAAGGAAATTGCATTAAAGACATTTGGGTTATTGCAAAAAAAAAGTGAGGGGCGGGGGGGGGGGGGGTGCAATAACTGAATAAGTAGGTAATCACAGCATAAAGTTTAGCCAGTAAGGTTTAGGGGCGCCCTAACCTTCTTAGCTTGGGCAGGTTCAGCGCTCCCCCCCCCCCCCCCCCCAGATCATGCTCATGGAATCACTCAGCACACACACGTGAGAACAACCCTGCGATGCTAGCCACATGAAAGCTCTTGTTACCGCCATCACCCCTCATTGTCATGTTGCTAGTTGTCATACAGAAGGCACCACTGGCCTCCTGGACTGTTCTGCCTACAGAGCACGTAATCAATGCCCATGCACATTCTCGTCCTCGTACAACAGCTTACCCATCTATGTAGATCAGTATTTCAGCCTCATCTGAATTTTCACATATAAGCGCGTGGACTTCTGCATTGACAGCAACTGGATTCTTTTCGGCGTATATATATACATATATATTACGGTGGTACCGAATATTGATTTTCACTATTCGGCCGAATACGAATGGCTGGACCAACTATTCGGTTGAATACAAATACGAATAGTGAATCATAATCATCAGGTGCTTCGCCATCTGATGTTATCAATGTGCCCAGATACTTAAATTTCTGTACTTGTCCCAAAATAAAACCATTGACTTTTATTACACATTTAGGAATAACTCTTTTCTTTGATACCAACATTACTTCTGTCTTCCCACTATTTAGACTGAGGCCCATTCTTCCACTTTCGTGTATAAAATTGATTTAAAAAGAAAACATCCATAATATCAAATGTACGCTGAAATTTTACTTTACAAAATGTAGTACAGAATAATAAACATTTAAAAACATTTCATGTTTTGCATCCTCCAGTCAGTCAGTCTGTGGTAACTAATACCTAGGAATGAAAGTATTCTTAGTTTAATAACAAGTAACTAAACTTATAAATTGTCACTGACAGCTTAGTTAATCCATGAAAGCGGCCTTAGCTTTCAAATGGTTCCATGTTGTCAGCATTAAGGCAGCTTCTTGTCTCACTGAAGATATTTCCAGCTGTACTAAACAGACGTTTACTTGGTATGCTCGTAGGTGGTGCACAAAGATAACGCTTGACAGTATGAACTAAGGTGAAAAATCTTGATTTTTTTTCTACCAGTCCAGAAACGGGTGTAAGGTAACCACTATTTGAATATATATATATGTATGCGTATACTTTGGTCGAATATGTTTGATTGTATTTGTGTATATTATTCCTTCCCATTCATCGTAATATTTTGTGTTGAATTGTTTTTTTTTTTTTTTGGGGGGGGGGGGGGGAAGAGGTTGAGGGGGAGGGTTCTCTAAGGATACGCAATAGGGTGTGGCCTGCTGGTGGGTCGATTTTTTAGCTTGCACTGAGGCCGTTTAATTAGCCTGTCGTGGCTCCCAGATCTTCCCGGCAGAAAATATGTACCAGGTTATTTCCCGTGAAATAAAAACGTACCGGTGTGAGGCTGTCTACATAACCCACCGGGACCTATTGGTTTATAAGACTAACATCATATATCCCACTGTTGTTTAGCCACGAACTGAGAAGAGAGGCGTTGGAAAACATCGAGACAACTGGAAAGATCACAGGAAAGAGGGGTAGAGACAGACCAAGGGAGATGATGCTGGATGGGCTGAAACGATGTCATTGAGGGAGATCATCAAGAGAGTTGTTCCAGGCAACTAGGAATCGTGATCTGTGGAGATGCATGAGGGCCTACGTCAACTGGCAGGGCACATGATGATCATGATGATGGTGAGGATGAGGATGATGATGATGATTATAATGACGAAGATGATGATCCTCATCATATATCGAATGAGCCTTTGTCGTTAAATGGGTCCTTTACATATTTGTAATGCATCATGCATAGTATAGTACGTTTTACCCTGGTAGAGACATATGGTTTATTCTTGAAGAAGATTCAGTGCATATGGACAAATCGGCTGTTGCTTTCGTGTCTTGCAGAAAATGTAAGGTGTTGATGCCGAGCTGCACCTGTCTTTCCGGGTTTAATGAACCAACCAAGTATTTGCATCACTGCAATTTAGTCTTTCTCGTACGTGCTCCGTCCCCTTCTTCAGTAGCCAGCGAAGATTTGACATTCTAATAGTACCAGTCGCAACCTGATTAAAAGTCCGTCTCTGTTAACCCCTTGACACAGCACTCCGGACACATCCAAAAGCGCTCAGATTCAACTCTCAACATATTCATCATCGTCGGGCAGTTAATAGTGCCTTCCCGATAGAAAAAAATCCACACGATTACAGAGGACTCGAACCTGAATTCACCACTTGAGAGCCAGCAGTCTTAACCATTCGACCAGCTTAACGTGGCACTAAATTTGACTACATGAAACAAAGATAAAGACGTCCGTCGAAACCTTCATTTGTATTTTTTTTTCCTCCCTTTTCCTTCTTTGAGATTTGCAGGCCATAGTTTTCTCTTTTTCTTTAATTTTAAAATCAAACCACGTCTAGGATTTATTTTCCAATTTCTGTTAAGACTGGAGCCAAACACATGCAACATATGACCGGAATTTCCCCAGTAAGTTACTGGGCGGCCACTTTCCTGTGGGACTATTTCACTTTCTTGGTGCCAAGTCTTGCCATTCCAGTAATCTTCGAAGTGTACAAAGTCGACTCATACACCAAGGACGGACGATCGGCGCTGGTCGTTTTAGTACTGGCTGTCTATTGTTGGGCGGTGCTGCCGCTAATGTATAGCTTGCAGTTTCTGTTTATATCACCTCCCAGTGGCATTGTCATGGTGGTTATGTTAAGCTTTATGTCAGGTAAATACGTGTTTGTGTGTTTTGTGAGCCAGACCAAAATTATCACAGATAGAAAATATAAAGCAGGCCTACAGACACGCAGAATCACCAGCAGGAAAGAGAAGGAAAATCCCAGGGATGAAAGTGTGTGGGTTATATCATCAGAAGTGAGCCTTAGTGAATGCTTCAGGAGGAGGAGGAGAATAAGGAAGAAGAAGAAGAAGAAGAAGAAGAAGAAGAAGAAGAAGAAGAAGAAGAAGAAGAAGAAGAAGAAGAAGAAGAAGAAGAAGAAGAAGAAGAAGAAGAAGAAGAAGAAGAAGAAGAAGAAGAAGAAGAAGAAGAAGAAGAAGAAGAAAAGAAGAAGAAGAAGAAGAAGAAAAGAAGAGGAAGAAGAAGAAGAAAAGAAGAAGAAGAAGAAGAAGAAGAAGAAGAAGAAGAAGAAGAAGAAGAAGAAGAAGAAGAAGAAGAAGAAGAAGAAGAAGAAGAAGAAGAAGAAGAAGAAGAAGAAGAAGAAGAAGAAGAAGAAGAAGAAGGAGGAGGAGAAGAGGAGAAGGAAGAAAAGGAGGAGGAACAGTAGGAAGAGGAGGCAAAGTTAGAGACAGAAGCAGAGAAAAATACGTTCATTTTGCTTCATGTATTAGCAAATGTGTAGAGGAAATACTCCAAGCGATAGTAAAAGGCCTATCTCTCGTATAGGAAAACAGTAATAGAGGCATGATTCCTACGAGGGATGGAGGGGCGCTGGACCAGAATAACGGTGGATGCAAAATATAAAGAACACGCGAGACATGAAAGAGACGGCGTTGAATCGGAAACAATAGACTACAAGAGCTTCAGGTAAAGAGTCAAAACATGAAAACTATACAGGTAGCCAGAGAAGAATAGTAAACCAACACAGAACTGGTGTAATCAGTCGATACACGCTGAGGGATGTACTGAAGATGGCATCTGGGCGCTTATGGGCTTGTCCGATGTCCAGGGGGGATAATCTTTCGATGAACTAACTAACAAGACATGAAAGAGGCCCTAGCGGCTTTATGGTGTGTTGTGTTGACAGCGAGGCTCTGCCAACGAACTGCTACATGAAGATGATGATGATGATAATGATGATAATGATGACGATGATAGTTATTTCGATGATGATGATGAATAACGAGAGTTGGACACTAAATTGGCCGAATTCAAGAAAACCATTGGAAATCAGAGAAATGGCTGCCAAATCGCTGGTACTTTTTCTTTTCCTCACTTCATCCAGTAACTTCAACGTGATGTAAGGTTTTTCCGTTCGCTCCGATACCGTTGTATAAGTTGACGTTCATATCTTCCAGGTTTTTCTGGATGTTGTTCCATATTTGCGTGGTCTTCCCCTGGCTCGCTGTCTAATATATTTCTTTAGTCTTGCTCTCTGTGGCAGTTGATACCAGGGCATTTTCGTGACATGACCAAACCATTGATCAAACCATCATATTCCCTGCTACTTAATAAACTGTATGACAGGTTGCAGGCCTAGTCATACATACATTTGGGCTTCGGAGATCTGTTCTTCCAATAATGGTCATAATCTCGACTTGCTTCAATTAACTGTGTGTACATTTTTCCTGCTGTCGTGAAATGATAGCCATTACGCATCGGTCTGTAAGGCTGATAACCTGTCTTACCTGTAATCTGCACAAAATTCAAACTTGGACTCGCCCAGAAATATATAGTCCCTTATATCTATATATATGGGCCTTTATTGGACAACATTATTATGTCTGCCTTTTCTGGTTACTTTAACTAAACTCCACTTTTAAATGTATATCTCTTGGAGATATATTAAGGGAGTTATTTGAGGTTTCTTGGAAACCGATTTACTCCTTGCCCATGTATACAAGGGACTTCTTTTGTTACCAACGCCTGAAGTGTCTAAGTGACGCTATTCTCCTTGCCAGCTTCTCAAGCGTCCAGACGTGTTAATCTATGCCTGTATCATTTCATTTTTCAAGGCAATCTGGAATTTCTCAGTTTTTACATATGCTTGGGTAAGTTAATTATAGTTTACGAGTACCTAGAATGATGTATGTAAAGTAGTCACTGCTGTAGAGAGATCAGTATCGGCTGTGTGATCCCACTTAGTTCGACCGTTCTTGATCGCTAGAGAAGCGGATTCGAACGTAGATCTTCCACTGTACAGACTAAATCACTTATGCCCTCAATAAACCACCCATACTGGTAAAACTTAATACCCTTACAAGTATGTACGTTTTAAACTAACCAGAGAATCTGTACATACGAAATGGGGACAGAATTGGGTCAGGGCTTTGTTAATCAAAGTATGTGTGTGTTTGACCCAGATCGGTGGATGGTAAGACGGGCGGTTGGGAAAGCTAGTGAATGCAGGTACTGACAGTAAATATTGGTGTCTGTGTGCAGAGTGAGGGGGAGAGAGAGAGTGATATATGTGTTAGACCACTTTATCTATCTCCACTGTATATCTGACTTGCCTTCTCTTGCACTAAACAGACAGATAAATATAGGAGACTTATGTCTTTTGGTCTGGAGAGGCAATCTGAGGAATGAAACAGGAGAGCAGGGGGGAGTCAGCAGATGGGGGTTGATGACTGATTCTTGCTCTGTCTTTCCTGTCAAGATGTTACCCTCTTGGTGATGACTAATGTTGAGTTATTTTCTTGACAGGATGTATCTTTTGTGAAGAGCTGGCAGAAGTTTCACAGTCCAACCAACACCCACCAACCATCAAACCACCAGAAACAAACTGTTACCCACCAGCTAACACCTGTGAAGGTTCCTGACATCTCCAACATGGGGGAGATGGTACCTCAAACAGCCTACCAGTGCTAGAGCTTAGGTTTGGCTCACAAACAATTTGTGTTCTACTTGGTGATAGAGACTTGCTAAGTACCAGTACAGTGCTGTGTCCTCTGTGGTGAGGTACTCTCTTACTACTTGATCCAGTGGAGCAGAATTCCCAGAGTCAAAGACAGTCGAATCATCCGGAGCTGAGGGAGGCATCATAGACAGAAAGAAGAGAAGATAAGTCTGATGCTTCGCATGATGTTGTGTTCCTCACAGCTCCTTGTGTCCAATGATGACATATAGTCACCTCCAGGACCGACTGTCTGCCTAGTTTCCTTAGGATCTAGACATTATTGCTGAGATTCTTTCACTGATAGCTGGAATTCACTTCAATTGTTTTTGTACAGATATTATACTAAATACATGCATTCATTTTCATGGCTGACTTAGGTTTCTCCATGTCAACCTCTTAAGTGTTTAGCAGTTGTATGTGTTTGTATCTTCATTATATGTGTTAACATGGTTATGATAATGAACTATCATAACCTGGGAGCTTTCTTTAGTAACCAGCCAAGTGTGCCTAGAAATATTGTATTTATATACTGATATATTTTGTAGTGCCAATACTTGAGTTGCCCTACTCCAGAGATAAGTTGAGCGTATATTGGCCACGGGGAATCCCTTAGACCAATACGAGCCAAACGACTCAACATAATTATCTCTGAGTGCTGTTGGTTCTGAAGGAGAAATCCTTACATTAGGCACGCGACAGGAGTGATATGTGACACCTGCGTGACTCACTATCTCTACTACAGTTAGTGAAATCTTCCTCACTGCCTTTAACCAACCCCCCCCCCCCCCTTTCCCCCTTTCCGAGTTTTTCTCTAAAGGTTTGTCACATATCTGCTTTATCTAGTTCTTTCCCATTTTAAAATTTAATTGTTACAATGTTTTTTCCCTAGTTGTGAATTCACTTTAACTTGTGGGTCTATTATCACTATCTTATGATTTGTGGCATTGCTTACTTGTAGCTTATCTCTAGTATCTGTCAACTTCCACGTACGCAGGAATAGTACATACATAACTAGGCTTAAGAATGTACGCACGCATGCAAATAGGCACACACGTGCACACATACACACGCACCCACACAACTCGTCAACACGCATATCCACACACACAAATCCTGCGCATACACACCCTCACAATCTGCCAACACGCACATAAGATAAAACAACTTGCCATTGTATGTGATATATATGCATATTTCAGGCGTGATTTCCACCATTGCTATGTCAATACTGAAGATTCCGCAGTTGCCCTTTAAGGATACGGCTGACATCTTAGACATACTGTTTACCCTGGCGTTCCCCAATTACAATTTGGCTTCTTGTTTCATTAACATCGACCAGAACTATCTGAACTTAAAATTGTGTCTGCCGCTACAGGATAAGTGCAATTCTTTTCCGAGTGCTTGCTGCAAAGGTAATTTGTATCGATTCCTTGACATTTTTCAAATGGTAATAAGACAATATGGATTAGTGTATGTACAACAGTACATAGACAGATAGAGAGATTGGAACATGATGGTTAAATGTTGCAACATTGTGAAATTACAACTTTGAGAAATGAAATGTAGTTTTATGTGTGTGCGCGCGTGTCTTTGTTATCTGTATGCGTTGTATTTATGTGCGTGTGTTTCTGTGTATGTCAAATATGGCGAATAGACAGGCTGATCGCTGATGCTTTGGAAATATTTTTTTTCTTGTCGCGATGTTTTGATGCAAAGACTCCATTCTGGACTGACAGTGGAAATCTTCTGTAGCCCATATACTGAGTTGAGTAGTACGACCTGTTAGCTGTGGATTTCAGGTGAAATTTCTCTCCCCACCCCCCGCTCCAACCCTTTCCGTTTTGATTCAAAAGTGAGCGGCAATTTTGGTGGGAGACTGAAGACGTTGGCACGTCTCGCGGCTGCCCTGTGGATTTATGTTACGCGAGCGTGTTCCAAGATAGTTCTGGTACTGATACGGATAATCACTAGTATTTCAAATTGGACAGTAAAGTGCATTGTGTGTGGTTTACTGAGACACAAGAGCAGAACAGTTATGGGGTGACCTGTCAGCACTGAAAATGGAACAACGACTAATGACTAACAATTAAGTAAGTGTGTGTGCGTCTGTGTCTGTTAGTGTGCGCCTGTGTCTGTGTGTGCGGGCGCGTGCCGGTTTCTGTATGAGTGTCTGCGTGTCTGTGGGTGTGCATCTGTGTCTGTATGTGTGCGCCTGTGTCTCTGTGTGCGCGCGCGTCTATTATAACACACATGCATGTGTGTTGTCCATCAAGATGATGATGACCACTCTTTTTCATCAAGTATGAGTACTAAGATGACTGTTGAGGCCAATGCGGGCCAGAAAAGTTCTTGGACAGTGAGGACATGGAATGGGTGTTGTGCCAGGAAGGGGATATTTTCTGTCCATCCTTTTCCTTATCAGTCTTGCTGTTCTGTTTGCTTTCAATGTAGCCGCGCCCTTGTGTAGAGTTTGCTTGCCATGCATTTCAGTCTTCAGTGGCAGCCTCCCAACTGGTGTCATTCGTCCAAAATGCTTTGAGTGAAGACTTCAATGTGTCCTTAAAGCGTTTCTGTTGCCCGCCTTGGGAACGTTACCCATTTTGCAGCTCACCATAGAAGTTTTTTTTAGGGGTGGGGGGGGGCTGTGATCTGACATGCGTGCCACATGACAAGCCCAACCAATTTGATACTGCATCAGTAGAGTGTGGATGCTGGGCATGGCTGCTTTCTCAAGGACTACGGTATCGGGTACTTTGTCTTGCAATCTGATCTGCGTTAGTTTTTCAAAGCAGACTGTGTGAAAGTGGTTTAACTTTCTGGCCTGGCGCTGGTATACTGTCCATGTTTCACATGCGTACAGCAGTGTAGATAATACAACTGCTCTGTATACTTTAAGCTTTGTCTGCAGAGTTATGCCACTTATGTTCCAAACAATTTTGTACAATCTGCCAAATGCAACGCTAGCCCTTGAGATCCTTGCATTTACTTCGTCATCAGTTGTGGCGCTCTGTGAAAGGGTGCTGCCTAGATAAGTAAATTTCCTGACAACATTTTATCTGTGGCCATTCACTCTGATATTAAGCTCGATGTATCTTTGCCAAAACTAAAACCATGGTGATCTCAAGAGAGGAGAAGAAACACCAGATCATGATGGGTCAGTATGCGTTGGAGCAGGTTAACCAGTTCAAATACCTTGGAGTTGTATTAGACCAAAATGGAGGCATTAAGACTGAGCTGGCTACACGAAAAGCAGCTGCTGGGAGACTCTTCCAGGCCATAAACCGAGGGTTTCTTAGCAAAAGAGAAATTGGCAAGAGGACGAAAATGGCTGTTTACCGCTCTACCTATGTACCAGTCCTGACCTATGGGTGTGAGTCATGGGCAATGACAACAGCTCACAGAAGCCAGCTGCAGGCCTCGGAAATGAGATACCTGAGAAAGGTGGTCCAAGTGACAAGAAGGGACAAAGTCCGCAATCAGACAATACGTCAAGATCTTGATACCCAGCCCTTACTAACCCGAGTGGATCAGTCACAGTTACGATGGTTTGGACATGTGTGCAGAATGGGAGAAAATCGGCCACCATGGCAAGCATGGGAGGCTAAGAACCAGGGAACCAGACCTCCGGGACGACCAGGGTGCGCTGGGAAGACAACATCCGACAGTCCCTGACTGACAGAGGACTGGAATGGAACAAAGCCAGAAGGAAACTGCTGATTCTGGCGATCTCTCTGGCAAACCTCTACACCCCAAGGTAGAAGAGGAGCGACTAAGTAAGTAAGTAAGTATCTTTGCCCTGGGGCTGGCTGGTGCGTGGCTACAGTTTTATCTTTGTTGATGGTGAGCCCAAAGTTTGTACATGCATCACTGAATTTGTCGATGTTGTGCTGCATATCCGCATCTGTATTGGTTAAAAGGCACAATCGTCGACAAACAGGAGCTCCCTGATGGTGTCTGGTTTAGTTTTCCTTTTTGCTTTCAGCCTCCTGAGGTTGGACAGCTTTCCATTCCATGCGGTAATTTATGTCGATTCCAGTGGGATCATTTACAAAGGCATCAGTCAGCATGGCTGAAAGTAACAGACTAAACAGTGACGGTGCAAGCACACAGTCCTGTTTGACTCCGTTTGTGACAGAAAAGGGCTCTAACTGTTCGCCGTTATCCTGTACTCTTGCTTGCATGCCATCATAAAACTGACGCACTATCTTGTTTAAGCAAAAAAATTTCTCCATAATCCTCCACAGCCCCTCTCGATTTACTGTGTTAAAGGCTTTCGTAAGATAAATAAAGGTGGAAAACATGTTCGAATTCTGTTCTTAACATTTTTCTTGCAGCTGTCTAGCAGCGAAAATCATATCTGACTTTCAGAAAGGAGACCTTTGTCGAGATAGGCTGTGAGACGAGCCAGGAGAATTCTGGCAAGAATTATTCCGGCAACTGAAAGCAGTGAGATACCTCGGTGATTGACGGTTTCCTTTTCATTTGTACAGGTGAATTATTACAGCGTCCTTAAGATCATGTGGGATGGTCTCACTCTCCCAAATTCTTTGGAATATCTTGTGTAGCTGCTCAGTCAGAACTGGACCACCCACATTAAAGACTTCAGCTGGAATAGCATCTGGACCAAGCCTTTCCATTGGAAAGGAGATGGAGAGCTTGTATGGTTTCCTCTGTTGTAGGCAGATCTGACAGTTAGTCGTTGGTAGGAATCTGGGGCACGCGGTTGATGGCTTCATCGTTTATGGATGATGTCTGGTTTAGTACGTTGTTAAAGTGTTCGACCCAGCACTTGGGGATTTCTTTTTTGTTTTCGATAAGAGTCTTGCCGTCCGCACCAAAAAGGAGAGCAGAGACTGATGGGGCTGGAGCTGCCTGTAGAGAGTCATGAGAGTTTTTCATATCATGTCTATCGGCAAAGTTCTGGATCTCACCAGCTTTGCTGCTCAGCCAGGAATCCCGCATTTGGCAAAGCTTCCGTTGTATGACCCTTCGTATGTTGTTGAAAGCATCTTTCTTTGACATTGACTTCGGGTCACCAAGATAATCTTATGGAGACGATGCTACTCTGCCAGCAGTTTTTCAATGTCTTTTGTGTTCTCATTAAACCAGTCTTTGTGAGGTCTTGTGGATTGGCCCAGGATTTCCCCAGCAGTTGTGTAGATAGTGTCTTTCAGAGTAGTCCAATCGTTTCCAAGTTCTGACCTAATGAATTGTTGGACTGGAGACAATCCTCCAAAGTATCCACAAAGGGCTGTTTTACTTTATTGATTTTAAGACCGCTGACATTTATCTTTTTGGGCATTTTACTCACTCAGGGCACCTTCGCGGTTAAGTGTGGAAGTTCATTTTGGAGACTATGAGACGATGGTCAGTCCAGCATTCAGCACCACACATAGATTTGTTCACCTGAACATCTTGTCTATCTTTCCTTCTGACTATGACATAGTCAATAAGGTGTCATTGTTTTGAGTAGGGATGCATCCAAGATGTCCTGTTTCGAGTCGGGAGACGGAATATTGTGTTTTTTGGTTTGGAGTTCATGTTCGACACATGTTTGAAGGAGGAGGAGTCCATTGCTGTTGCAGTTGCCTACTCAATATTTGCCAGTAATGCCGTCCCATGAGGCTGTGTCAGTGCCAACTCTAGCATTACAATCACCTAGGATTATTAGTTTTTCTGCTTTAGAGACAGATGTTATGTTCTCATGCAGATCTTCATAGAATTTGTTTATCACCTCCTCGGAGTTGGTCATCGCTGGAGCATAAGCACTTATGATGATTGTATATTTCTTTCCCTGTCGCAAAGGATATCTTATAATCATCAGCCTATCATTTACGGCCTTTGGAAAACCAGCAAACTTGCCAACCAAGGATGTTTTGATGGCAAAACCAACACCAGCCTGGCGTTTTTCTTCAGGTTTTCTACCACTGCAGAAGAATGTGTAGCCGGCACCTAGTTCACGGATTTCACCTTCGCCTGCAAGCCGGGTTTCACTTAGGAAAGGAGATGGATAGCTTGTATGGTTTCCTCTGTTGTAGGCAGATCAGACAGTTAATCGTTGATATGTCGATTTTGTATCTGCTAAGTTCTCCCCCTATTAGAGCCGTGCGTCTCTCAGGGCCATTGACCTCCCCTCTGTCGAGCAAGGTGCGTATCTTCCATGTTCCGGATTTTAGGGACAACTGTTTAGTTGTCTTGAATATTCTTGTGTTTCGACCGCTGTTGCAGGGTACCCACCAGCCGCGGTAAGTTAGTTAGGCAGTGGTGGAGCAGGCAATGTTTAGGGCACCTTTTCTAGCCCCGTCCTCATGTCATGGAGGTGAGCAGTGCTGTTCTAAAGAGGGCTGCTCAGGAAGCTGCCGAATTCCGTCACTGCTCCGGTCAATGAAAAGCGACTCTATGGCCTGAGCCGCCAGTGTGCAGATCTGCAACTACGGCTTCCAGCGTACCCACGCCTGCCGCTTTGCTGCTCGTCCATCGCCACTGGGCTTGTAGAGATGAACATATATGAGATGGTGATGAAAGAGTGATATGCGCGGTGACTTGGATTAAAGAGAGGAAGAGTTGCGCAGTGTCGTCGACCTCACCCTCTCGCCTGAGTCATATCTGGATCCAGTGGCAAGACAGAGTTAGGACGACTAGAGATATGTCTAGGCGCAGTGGATGACCAGGGCGTTCTACATGCCTCGCCATGCTCTTTGCTGCTCCACGGCCCTTTACTACTATCGCCGTCTTGCCCGTTGAACCAAATATGGTTTCTTCCGCGCATTCTGCTTACAGTAGTCTTTGCGTGCTTGGATAGGCAGATCCTAGCTCACCGATGGTAACCATCGGCTACCCTCACCTGGTTTTGCCGGCCTGTCAAAGCCGTTGCCCGGGGAGGGGGGGGGCTGCTGACAACTACGTGGAGCCACAGATGAGAGCTGAGTGTCAGTTTTGGATCAAAGGTTTTCAAGCTATTCTAAAAAGGACATGATAGGCTCTTCAACCAGAGTTACTACCAATAACTGACACCCAATTTCCCCTATGCTTAATCTATAGCTTTTTTCGGAGCAAACAAGAAAGAAATTAGAATATTCGTTTAGATGTTTCCAGTTTTCTTGACCTAAGCACGCCCTTATCTCATGCTCTTCCTGCAGATAAGTGTAAAGAGATGTGCGTAGAGTTTGAAACTGACTACCTCAGCAGGGAAACTCTGGGCATCGGAACTTACCTGATTGGAATGGCCTGTCAAGGAGTGATATTCTTTCTGGTGGTTATGGCAGTAGAATATAAAGTTATTCCGATGGTGTGGTAAGATTTCAAATGTTCAGTGTTTATCAAATGTTATGCTGTAGTAATTACCCATGTTCTCAATCCTCGATCTGTATTGAAGAATTGGTTTAGGGAAAACAACCATGATGTGTGATCACAACATTGTTTTAAGACAGTCGGGATTTGTGGTCAAACCATTTTCTGGATAGTCTCGACAAGTCGAACCGTTGTCTGGGGAGAATCAGGATGTGTGGTTAATCCATTGTTTAAGGGAGACAATCAAAACTGTGTTTTAAAACAAAAATCGTGACGTGTATTTAAACTATTGTTAGTTGACAAAAACGATGTATGGTCAAACCATAATTTGTGGACAATCATGATGTGTTATGAAACCATAATTTGTGGACAATCACGATGTGCTGTCAAACCATCGTTTGTGGACAATCACGATGTGTTGTCAAACCATCACTTGTGGACAATCACGATGTGTTGTCAAACCATCATTTGTGGACAATCACGATGTATAGTCAAACTATTGTTTGTGGAAATTCACAATGTGTAGTCAATCCATTTTAGGAGGAAACAGTCATTACGTGTGGTCAATTTATTGTTTAGGAAGAAGACAGTCTTCATGTCTGATCTATTCATTGTTTATGGACAATCACGATGTGTGGTTCTTGATGTGTGATCTATTCATTGTTCATGGACAATCACGATCTGTGGTTCTTGATGTATGATCTATTCATTGCTTATGGAAATCACGATGAGTGGTATAACCATTGCTTTTACACTAACTATATCAGCACTTGGTGATTGATTATGGATCACCCTTTGCACCCTTTGTGGCTGAGGACCCGAACAGACATGTTTGCATGCTGGAGAACATTATGCGAGGAGAGGAGTGAGTCAAAGTAGCTAGCGGAACAGTCAGACTAGTATAGAGTCACCAATCATACTGAGCCGAGAGTGCAGGGTGTGGCCAGCAGGTGGTACGGAGGTGGAAGTTCAACAAGTAATTCAAGATAATGCTGGCTCTAGTGATGTCATTATTTTTATTAATACAGATGGTTCAGTGGCAAGAGGCATTCAAGATAATTCTGCCTCTAGTGATGTATTTTTTTTTATATACAGATGGTTCAGTGGCAAGAGGCAAGAGAAGAGCCTGGGTGTTCTTGGCAAAAGCTAATGGTCGACGTTTGGTGCAGGAGAGCTTAGCATATGATACCAAAACATCCAGCTTCAGAATGGAGGTGAAGGCTGTCACTGCAGCTTTTCTTTGGTTAGAAAACATCACACACACACACACACACACACACACACACACACACACACACACACACACACACACATATATATATATATATACATATCGAGACTGTAACTGATTCCTGATTCAGAAAGCATGCTGAGAAAGTGCATTTTACCTGCAGAGTGGCATGCTTCCCTTCGGAGATCACGCCTGAAGAGCAAATCTGTATTTTGGGAATGAACTGGTGGACAGATTGACCGGCTCTGCACAACTTGGTGGAATACAGATGCATGATAAGACAGGTGTTGTTAAGGAGTTATGAGAGCACATGTACAATTTGAAACCGAAAATTGATCTGTGAGACGGTTGCAGCGGGGAGTTACGAGCGGATCTGTCCGATACTCGACTCTCGGAGGAAAGGCAAGACATGTATATACAATCAGACCTCTACTGGCACTGTTAGTATTGGAACTGTGCGTTGCCAGCTGAAGATGGGGATGGAGAGCTTAAGGGAATGCACCGAGTGCTATGATGTCGTTTCTTGAATCAACTCAGCTGGAGACAGTTATGATGTGTGGTTCAAACCATTATTTGGGAGAGGATAATCACGATGTGTGGTTAAACCATTGCTTAGGGATGAACAATCATGATATATGGTCAATCCATTGTTTAGGGGTAAACAATGATGATGTGTGGTCAATCCATTGTTTAAGGGTAAACACTCATGATGTGTGGTCATTGTTCAAGGGGGGTGGGGGATCCCGATTTTTTTCATATCGCTGTTCGATATCTTGCTCGGTTGCCTTCAAGGTTGTTGTTTTTTTTTTTAATGATATGTCCTTCAGTGTACTGGAAATATTTAGCTTGCCTAGTTTTCTTTCCCTCAGCAACTCTGTGTTCTTGTTTCCTAGTCTCTTCAGAACATAATATTTTAAAGTTACATGCGATTTAAGGTAACCGTTACTTATTCGCCTTTTACGACATGCTTGGGTACAGTCTGTTTTTACTCCCCCACTCATTCACTGAGGCCAAACTATCTATGGTAGTGTTGTTGTTGCTGTTGTATTTTTTTTTTTTTTTTTTTTTGCTCAAAAGCCGTCTTATTTTTGTTAACATATTTTATTTAATACACTAATGTAGTTACTTCAACATTTTTTTTTTAATATTTCTGATAAGGGTTTGTCTTTGAAAGTTCCTTTGTAAGTTTTATCAGTATTCTACCTATTTGTCTATGCGTTGCCCGGTTGTAAGCTGCAGTATGAAGTTCTGGTTGTTCGTCCACTTCTGGACTTCAGACTTGTTCTAGAACCTGAGTTTTGCGTGCACATCCGTTTTACAGATCTGACTTATCTGTATGCAGACTGTTATTGTTTCCCCACCTCTCAGGCACATGAATTCCAACGTAGGAAGAAATATGTTAAATCATATGCTTGTTGGGGCAGTACGTCTATCCTCCCCACTCTACCCACCCCCACCCCCTACCCCATTTGGGGGAGAGGCGGGATACCCGAAACCCACAAGAGAATTATCAGTAATATGAAAAGCTTTTTAAATTCACAATTTTGATTTCTATTGTGGTTGACCGTCCAGGTACGCTCTTGCTGGAGCCGACAGTGCCATTGAAAAAACAGACAAGAGCAAAGAAGATAGCGATGTGGCGGCAGAAAGAAAGCGCATCACTTCCACTCCAATTTCAACTCTGATATCTACAGGTGAGCTCTGCATGAATCTCTTCGATTGTTTTCGTTCGCCCGAGAGACGTAGTTGCGTTGTGTCTGTTTACGACATAGCTCCAGTTTTAGCGCATTTCGGCCGACACACACGCGACTTCATCGGGCGTTTGTTCATCGGGTTAACTTTCCTAGCTGGTTTCATGGGGGCATACGTACCCTCATTTGTGTGGTATCATCTTTGTCCATTTACATGTGTTGCCCCTGGAGAACCCATCCAGGGTAGCCGTGTGTAGACTGGGCTTGAAGGCAGGGGCAGATCATGGGCATTCCCTGTCATCCAAGGAAGCTTCTATAAATGCAAATGCAATAAATGACGCTCTTGGCATGGGCTCATACAAGGAATCGCCTTCTTCCTGCTCATGACTGTAACTCACGGTCGTGTGTTGAGGTGCCCACTTATTACGGGCTGTGTCCTTTGCAGACCAACAGGCAGCAGCTCGGTGTAGTGCTCTGTTCCCTTAATCGGTACCTAATTTTATGCCAGTTCATGACCACGACCGGCTTCAGCTGACGGGTAGTGCTGCTGACGTCAGCGGATCGGGCTAACCATGCGTTAAAGCAGCGGTTCTCAAACGGGGTGCCGAGGCACCCTGGGTTCCACGAGCGTATGCCGGGGGTGGGGGAGGGGGCTGCGGCAATAATAATAATAAAAAAGTCGGCTAAAAATTGTAAAATTATTAAAGAAGTCTTGTAGATTTTTAAAAGTTAAAATTCCCTAGTCACTGTCGAAAATAGTTTATTTCTTGTTTAAGAACCACTTCGTTAACCCATCGTTAGCCCGACCCAGTGACGTCAGCAGCACGGCCGGTCAGCTGGGTCGGGCTAACGATGGGTTAACGAAGTGGTTCTTAAACAAGAAATAGGGCCTTGGGGCTGACGCCACTAGACTGACGTGACCTCAACACCCCGGGCTAACGATACGACCGTTTTTACTCTGACAGTCCGGTTTCATCGGTGTCTTCCCGGTCGTCCCCTGAGTATTCCCCTAAACTAAAATTATAGAAATAAACTTGAGAATAAAACATGTGTATAGGTATAAACACATGTGCAAACTAAAGCGGAAAAACTAGAGAAAAACATTTTAATATTAATTAATTAGTATATCTTACACAGGTTATAGGCTTATATAATCTAGTATTTTATTAGAAAAAAATATTTTTGTAGAGTGAACAAAATAAAGAGAACAACATAGAAACAGAAAGTACAACAGAAACTACTTACATTTTAGCAGGTGAATACCCGGTATGTGTCCACAGAATCCACTGACAATTAGTGAGGGGACTGAGCCAGCTTTCTTTTCTTGGATGATTTATCATTCTTGTCCACCCAGGATATTCACAATGTTTTTCTTGTCCATCCAGTGTATCTGCAATATTCTTCTTGTCAAACTGGTTAGTTCGTAATATTCTTCTTGTCCAACTATTATATTCTGAATATTTTTCTTGTCCACCTAGTAATTTTGAAATATTTTTTCTTATGCACCCAGGATATGCGTAATATTTTTCTTGTCCATCAACTATATTCGCAAAATTCTTCTTGTCGACCCAGCACATTCGCACTATTTTTCGAATATAAGCTCATTGTGAATTTTTTTTTTTTTTTTTTAAGCAGGTCCCTTTTCACGCCTTTTAGGGGCTTCGGGCATATGAGAAGGGCACCCACATTTTTACAGACCAATCAGCACTAGTGGGTAATGTGGTCAACATTACGCCGGCCGTCTTTACTTCCCCAGGACATATATCATGGTACACATTTGAGGTTGGGTAACCTGCCACGCCCCATACAACAATTAAATTTCACGCAGCCAGCAGTGGTTTTGATTGTGGTACGTTGGAATTACGTGTCGGACTCGCAACGCCTTAGCCAAGGACACCGCATTGTGAATTCGTAATCTGTAATCATTTATAAAATGTTAATATCACATTTTGTGTAAGGTATACTGTACTAGAAAAAGAAGAGATCATAGGACATAGTGTAGTGTAGTTTTTCCGTCTTACCATTGAAATGCTGCTCCGCGAAAACACAATACATTGAACATAAATCCAAAGAGAATAACATGAAGAACTTGCTAAATACGTTTCAAGAAAACCCACTTATAAGTGAATCAAAAGTGAAGGTAAAATCACTAATTAATGTTACTCAAAGGTAAAATAAATCCAACCTAACGAAAATGAAACACATGTGACTGCCATTTTGAGTCTGCCGAAGAAAGTGATGTCTTCAAATTAGCCTCAAAGCCTTTCTACATGGTCAAGCAGGGGAGTTTGATTTGTCTACAACAGAGCTTTCCAAAATGTGTGTCGCGACATTTTAGAGAATCGGTTGCGGCGTCAAGCTAAAATAACGCGTTCAACAGTTTATTGTGTGCCCGTATGTTTTACAAAGGGTTAATTTTCCCCTGATTTTGTAAAGTTAGTTACAGAATTAGGCTTATCGTTGACTTCTTCGCGTTCATCGTATGTGAAATATGGCGGAGAGTTCAGGTTGTTCGTCTACTTCTGGACTATTGTCCTGTCCCAGAACTTGTGTTTTGCGTACAATTCCGTTTCTATCTTGCTTATTTTTATGTGACGGGGTTGCTTTCTAGCAGATGCATTCCAACTTCGAAAGAAACACCCCTGATTAGTCAACTCACGATATGCTTTTTAAAAGAGAGTGGAGTTATCCCTGTCTCTCTCCCTCCCCCATCCCGCCACCCTCCCCTTTTTTTCAACATCTCGGGCCGTAACCCACACGATGAAGAACCCTTCGAACTGAATGGGTGATGTGGTCAACATCCCTCTGGTCGCCTTTACTTCGCAAGATATTCTGGTACCCACTCTAAGGTCAGTCTGGTAGCTTTATGTCAGTTATTTTTAAAAAAAAAAAATTTCTTTGTTTTTAACAATTCTTTTGGACCAGTTAGAAAGCGTATCCACTGTCCTACTTAAGCCCCTAAACATACACAAGATAGCTAGATAACTTTTCTTTTGTTTTTGCACCACATATATCACACTCAGATTCACTGGTTCTGATAAACCTGTACAAGAGATACTACAACTTCGTCGCTGTGGACCACACTTGTGTGGGCATCAAAGAACGAGAATGTTTTGGTCTGTTGGGTCAGAACGGCGCAGGAAAAACCACCACTTTCAAAATGATCACCGGTGATATCATGCTCAGTGGAGGCAACGCCTACCTCAAAGGTTTTGATATCCGAAAGGATATCAAGAAGGTAGCATATTGTATTTCTTGTTTTTTGTTATAGTTTCTTATTAGGAAAATTTTTTTATTAACACCACTATAGTGCTTCCCTTACATTATTGGCACCGCTCCGTCTTTCCAGACGATAGTATTATATTGTGCTATGGGAAGGCATGAGACTCACAACCGTGGCGATGACGAGTGTGATTAGCAAGACCAGCTCACGTTAAGAAAAGTCTTTCACAATTAAAGCATGTGATTTCAGGACCGTTGTTGTCAACTTTTGTGTTTAGTCTGTTTTATCTCAGACGCTCAGCTCTCATCCTTTCTGCAGTCATTTCTTCTTTCATTCTCATTCCCTTCCTGATGTGCCCTCTCCACATAACAAGGTCCATGGCATTTTGTTCGTACGAGTTCACCTCAGTACCTGTATCATTCATGTCTCACCTGCACACATCTTTATATCGAAGTAGAGGTCGGCCTAGACATCTTCTACCCGCCATTAATTCTACATAAAGGATGTCTTTAGGAACTCTGCCATCCTCCATTACCAGGTGTGACCCAGCCACCTGAGACTTCGTAGACTGTGCATTGAGAAGACTGCTGTAATACCTGCTTTTTCCAATACCTCACTGTCACTTAATGCCAAATATTCTTCTTAGGCAACGCATGTGAAAGCTGTTTAGCTGTCTCTTCTGGTGCAAATAAGTTGATCAAGTTTCACTGCCATAAAGCTGACAGCTAAGAACACAAACCTGATAGACAAGGGTTTTTGTTTTAATTGTGAGCTTAGTGTTTTCCCAAACTCTCTTTGTCAATCTGCTCATTGTTTTTGCTGCCTTACCGATCCTGGTGTTTATTTCTTTTCTTGGTCCAGTAATACTTTTTTGTTCACCGTGGATCCCAGTTAGATAAAATAGTCAACTGTCCCTAGCTCTTCACCGGCAATGTAGACTGTAGACTGTAAGTCAATCATTAGCACCTTGCACCATAACCTTTGTTTTCTTTTTGTTGATGGTTAGTCCAAATTCACAGCACGCATCAGCAAGTACAGACAGTAAACATTGCAACTCCTCCACTGAGTGGGTGGTAGCTGCTGCATCACTGCATACAGCAGCTTTCTGATCAGTTCATTTGGTATCCTGGTTTTGGCCTATGAGCACTGTAAAGGGTGACGTCAGATCGAGAATGAATGAATAAACAATCCTCTTGATCTCGAAAGGTGTATTTCAAAATAAGTTAGAAGTATATCCAAAGAAGGGGGTGGGGGCAAGTAAACATCCCTGCTTTACGCCATTGTTGATTACAAACGTCTCCGATGTTACACCAACAAAGTTGATTGTACCTTTCATACCTGTGTGAAACGACTTAATAATGCTCAGTAGAGAAGGTGGACACCTAATCTTCTTCAACGTGTTGAACAGACCTTTTAGACAAACAAAATCGAATGCCTTGGCAAGATCAGTAAATGCAATATACAGTGGTTGATTTCTTCACGGCATTTTTCCTGCAACTGTCGTAATGAAAATGTATCAGTGGTAGACCGGTTCCCACGAAAGCCACACTGTGACTCTGCAAAAAGCTGGTCTCCCAGAATCTGGAGTCTCCGCAGAACGATTCTCGCAAGTACTTTTCCAACAGTACACAGCAGTGATACTCCCTTGTAGTCATTACAGTCACTCCGATCACCCTTGTTCTTGTACATAGCTATAATACTTGAGTCTTTGAAGTCTTGCGAAACCAGTCCCTCGTGCTTCCCTTGTATCTACTACTAAAACACAAAATTGAAAGACCACTTTTGTAGTAGACTTTGGACGTCCTGACCTGCGACACTGCGGGCTACATTATAACGTTCTGGCAGAGCGTGTGTGACAGAGTAGAAACCGCTAATCTGCTAGCAACTTCTCACAGTCCTAGAGCATCCTCCTGGCATGCTATGATCTCCATCTGCCAGCATTGGTCAAGCAACATTGCTAAGCCATGGTTACAATGGTAAATGTCACAAACCTACCCATTGTCTGTTCTTTCCGAAAAGTATGTGACGAATGTTCACTATAGTCACGACTTGCACTTAAAAAGCAAATTTTCACAGTTATCAACAGGCTTTCCCACAGGAAGCATTTTCAAACTTACATTATTTCCCTTTCCATCACCTGCATTCAATTGACCCTTCAAGGTAAACAAAAGTAACACAGACTTGATTTATTGTCAGGCTAACAAACGTGTTTTGGCTCACAGGTTGATCTAGCTTTCAGTGGGTACCAGAGGGGCAGTTCTGGGAAGTAAAGGCGGCTGGTGTGATGCTGACATCACCCACCAAGTGCCATTTTGTCTATAGAATATAGGTCTAGCCCAATACGCCTTAAGGCGTGAAAAAGAGTCCTCTACTTTTTTTTTTAACAAGCATGTTCATTCATGCTACAAAATGCAGCAAAATATTTGTTCGTTGCATGTTCATTCATGCTACAAAATGCAGCAAAATATTTGTTGGTTGCATGTTCATTCATGCTACAAAATGCAGCAAAATATTTGTTCGTTGCATGTTTAAGTCGAAGAAAACAACACAAAACAGCTTAGATACCTAACAATTGAAAGTAGACAATGTTATTATTATATTACTACTATTACTACTACTATTACTACTACTATTACTACTACTACTATTACTACTACTACTACTACTACTACTACTACTACTATTACTACTACTACTACTACTACTACTACTACTACTACTACTACTACTACTACTACTACTACTACTGCTACTACTACTACTACTACTACTACTACAACTACTACTACTATTTCTACTACTACTACTACTACTGCTGCTGCTACTACTACTACTAATTCTTCTTTAGTTGTATATTATCCATAAAGAAAGTATCTTTCCATGCCATTACAAAAGACTGTCTAAAAGTTCCTCTCATTTATCCCCACTCTTAACACCGCCCCACCCCTCTTTTTGCGCGACCAAACAGCTAAAGTCCCCCCCCCCCCTTTCTCCCCCCGGATCCCCTAAAAGATTATAAGGGCTGATCCCCCCCCCCCCCCCGATAATTTAATTTTGGCCACACCCCTGACTCCACAACACTTGTTAGCAAAGGTGTAAGACGTTATGCATATTTATTTTTTAACATTCTAACATTTGAGACATTTCCACTGGTGCTCAGTCCTTGATGCAAACGACGTTCTCATGCACCTGTACTGACATTTCCCAGACAAAAAGTGATTATAATCTGGCCAATCTTGACTTCGTTGAGTGATCCTTGAGTGTTCGGTTTTTTTCAATCATTTTTATTTTTAAACAGTGGTACAGGAATCGCGCTAAGGAATAGACTTGGGCCTTTTCTCAAAGTCCATAAAGTGGTAAATGGCTGAACCGGTCTTCAATAAGATGTGCGTTACTGGCAGCTAGAGAGATAAAACAACACATAAAAAAATGAGAATCGTCAAATGTTATGTATACTCAGTACTGCTGTATGGTGTAGAAACTTAGACAATGTACAAGCAACTAGAAAATCGAATTCGGTCTCTGGAGATTGGGGTATACAGAAGAGTAGGTTATATTTCATGAAAACAAAAACATTCCAACAGAGGTTCTGGACAGGCTGAAAAAAAAAGAAAAAAGAATACAGAAATTTAAAAAAAAAGAGACATTTGAAATACATTGGCCATATTTAAAGACACATTTTTAAAAAGCATACAGGAGAGAAAAGTCGAAGGCAAGAGAGCAGGAGATGGATAACGATACAAGTGGGTGGACATCATCAAAAGATGGACGGACAGCAGTCTGAGAGAGTGTACAGCCAGAACAAGGGACAAAGCGTGTTAGAGATCCATCGCAGCCAACCTTCACTGTGAAGACGGCACCTGATTGATTGATTGACTCTTAGAGTCTGTGGCGTTGGTAGTAGTATCTATGCATAACCTTCTGTCTACTGTACTTTCAGTACACTCCGACACAGATGATCCTCCATGCCATGATGTCAAGCTGCCCAGCGTCGTCTCTGTCGGTCTTCCTCTGACTTTCTTCCCAACTAACTTTCCTACAGTCACGATTTAGTCCAGTTTTCTTCTCCTTGGGATATGACATGACCAAAGAATGTAGATTGTACATTTCTTATGTAGGCAATCAGTTCTCCTGTTGAGTCAGTTTCTTTAAAGACTTCTTTATTACTTTTTTTTTTTTAAATCTGTCCAAGGTATGCTAGTCATTCGTCTATAAAAACCATATCTCCGCAGCACAAAATAATTTCCCACTAATCTACAAAATATCTTTGCTTCACTTATTGGTATCACCTCCTAACATTTCCAAATACAACACTGGCACTCTGTAGCCAACCTTCATTGTAAAGGCGGCACAGAATGTTCATTATTTTTATGTTGGCATGGAAAACGGCATAGCAACTTTTTTTTTTTGGGGGGGGGGGGGGGGGATCACATAGTGAAAGAGTATGGGGGGATCAGCTACAATATTATTATTTGCGGCGTCCGTGGCTTATTCGTTGCGAGTCCGACTCGTAACCCAACGTACCGCGATCGAAACTCACTGCTGGCTGCGTGGATTTTTATCATGGTATGGGGCGTCGCAGGTGGATCCAGACTAAAATTGGTACCAAGAGGGCTGTCCTGGGGAACTAAAGACGACCGGCGTAATGCTGACCACATTACCCATCCAGTGCCGATTAGTCTGTAGACATATGGGACGCTCTTCCCATGTGCCCGATGCGCCCAAGGCGGGAAAAGGGATCTTTTACTTTTTTTCTTCTTAAATATTATTAAGTGCTATTATGTTTTTTGTCTCTCTCTCTTTTTTTTTTTTTTTTTAGGTCCAAACCAACATGGGCTACTGTCCACAGTTCGATCCTCTCATAGACGTGTTGACTGGGCGAGAAACGCTCACAATGTACGCACGCCTGCGAGGGATCCCACAATCCAGCATTGATCGAGTGATCGCGTCGCTGGCAGAGTTTATCAAGCTGACAGAATATCTTGATGAATTTTGCGGCACTTACAGGTACATGCTCGTCGGACATATTTCACTGACAGTCAGGCGATTGTGGTCATGCTCGTCAGACAAATTTCACCGACAGTCAGGCGATTGTGTTCATGCTCGTCAGACATATTTCACCGACAGTCAGGCGATTGTGGTCATGCTCGTCGGACATATTTCACTGACAGTCAGGCGATTGTGTTCATGCTCGTCGGACATATTTCACTGACAGTCAGGCGATTGTGGTCATGCTCGTCAGACAAATTTCACCGACAGTCAGGCGATTGTGGTCATGCTCGTTGGACATATTTCACTGACAGTCAGGCGATTGTGGTCATGCTCGTCGCAGGCTCGTCGGATATATTTCACTGACAGTCAGGCGATTGTGGTCATGCTCGTCGGACATATTTCACTGACAGTCAGGCGATTGTGGTCATGTTCGTCAGACATAGTTCACTGACAGTCGGGCGATTGTGGTCATGTTCGTCAGACATATTTCACTGACAGTCAGGCGATTGTGGTCATGTTCGTCGGACATATTTCACTGACAGTCGGGCGATTGTGGTCATGTTCGTCAGACATATTTCACTGACAGTCAGGCGATTGTGGCCATGCTCGTCGTACATATTTCACTGACAGTCAGGCGATTGTGGTCATGCTCGTCAGACATATTTCACTGACAGTCAGGCGATTGTGGTCATGCTCGTCGGACATATTTCACTGACAGTCAGGCGATTGTGGTCATGTTCGTCGGATATATTTCACTGACAGTCAGGCGATTGTGGTCATGCTCGTCGCAGGCTCGTCGGATATATTTCACTGACAGTCAGGCGATTGTGGTCATGCTCGTCGGACATATTTCACTGACAGTCAGGCGATTGTGGTCATGCTCGTCAGATATATTTCACTGACAGTCAGGCGATTGTGGTCATGCTCTTCGGACATATTTCACTGACAGTCGGGCGATTGTGGTCATGCTCTTCGGACATATTTCACTGACAGTCGGGCGATTGTGGTCATGCTCGTCGGATATATTTCACTGACAGTCAGCCGATTGTGGTCATGCTCGTCAGACATATTTTACCGACAGTCAGGCGATTGTGGTCATGTTCGTCGGACATATTTCACTGACAGTCGGGCGATTGTGGTCATGTTCGTCAGACATATTTCACTGACAGTCAGGCGATTGTGGCCATGCTCGTCGGACATATTTCACTGACAGTCAGGCGATTGTGGTCATGCTCGTCAGACATATTTCACTGACAGTCAGGCGATTGTGGTCATGCTCGTCAGACATATTTCACTGACAGTCGGGCGATTGTGGTCATGCTCGTCGCAGGCTCGTCAGATATATTTCACTGACAGTCAGGCGATTGTGGTCATGCTCGTCTGACATATTTCACCGACAGTCAGGCGATTGTGGTCATGCTCGTCGGACATATTTAACTGACAGTCAGGCGATTGTGGTCATGCTCGTCGGACATATTTCACTGACAGTCAGGCGATTGTGGTCATGCTTGTCGGACATATTTCACTGACAGTCAGGCGATTGTGGTCATGCTCGTCGGATATATTTCACTGACAGTCAGCCGATTGTGGTCATGCTCGTTGGACATTTTTCACTGACAGTCAGGCGATTGTGGCCATGCTCGTCGGATATATTTCACTGACAGTCGGGCGATTGTGGTCATGCTCGTCGGACATATTTCACTGACAGTCGGGCGATTGTGGTCATGCTCGTCGAGATATATTTCACTGACAGTCAGCCGATTGTGGTCATGCTCGTCAGACATATTTCACCGACAGTCAGGCGATTGTGGTCATGCTCGTCGGACATATTTCACTGACAGTCAGGCGATTGTGGTCATGCTCGTCGGACATATTTCACTGACAGTCAGGCGATTGTGGTCATGCTTGTCGGACATATTTCACTGACAGTCAGGCGATTGTGGTCATGCTCGTCGGATATATTTCACTGACAGTCAGCCGATTGTGGTCATGCTCGTTGGACATTTTTCACTGACAGTCAGGCGATTGTGGCCATGCTCGTCGGATATATTTCACTGACAGTCAGCCGATTGTGGTCATGCTCGTCGGACATATTTCACTGAGAGTCAGGCGATTGTGGCCATGCTCGTCAGACATATTTCACTGACAGTCAGCCGATTGTGATTAGTGCTTTACCCTGCTTTTATGTGTTTAACAAATTCGGACCCTTGTATTTTCAATAATTTATCATTTTTTGGTCTTATTAATAATTTACATAAAAACACAACAAAGACTTGTTTTTGCGAAAGATCGATTGGTTACATTTTACTTTGTGCTGTATAACTCTTACAAGGCAATCCAGCAAGGATAATCGTATACTTATTTACCTCTAATAAGCAAAATACATTTTAATTACTTGTTTTGTGGACAAAAAAGTGACATAACGTTGAGAATGAAGTAATTTTTAATATAGAATTTCATCCCATTTAGATTCTAATACGGCTGAGATAGAATTGTTTCAAAACTTTGGCACGAATTTGTAAACTCACCAAAGGCAGTTTTGCAGACTAAATCTCAAACAGTGGTACGAATATAGTTTGTGTGTCCAGTGGGACTCTAGCGTCGAATCAACTTCCTACAAATAAAGTCAAAGACACTCTTGCCCACCATGAGGCATGTTGTGCATATATGACCAGACATATATTGTATAGACCCAACGGCACTTAGTGGGTGACGTGATCAATATCACGACAGACATAGTTGTTTCCCACAACTTTACCTTCTACCGTGTAAGGCTTGGTCCACTCAGGAGTCCCTTTCCTTTGAAGTCCTTTCGGTTTGGGGCCAACGACCTATGGAAATGCAGGCGATTGTAGATGCTACATCACGGCGGTAGAACACAATTAACTGACAAGGACTAAAATGTTGCGGCGAGAGAATTCACTTTATTGCCGTTGGTTTATCCCATTATTCCATACTGATGGTATTCTTCCGTGGGTCGGTGGGGTGTGGGGGGGGGGGGAAGAGAAGGTTCAAGGGGCTGCCATCTGCCAGAATCTTAGCACTCCACATCTCCTGTGACGACCCCCGGCGAACTCAAAACGCAATCACTTCGGAGGTTCCAAGATTTAAAATAGGGTAACCATTCCTCCATCTACAGCTACGACAGCAATGGACGTCGCTTCATGCGGCAATGCCGGGCATATGTAATTACAACGTCTTGTTTGGAAATTTAGGTGCAGGCAGTCACTGCTGCCTTTGGCCGTCTTGAAAAATCAGCTGTACACCCATGTCGCAATTGTAAACGACTTACAAAGCATGTTGAGAAAGGTGGAGACAGTCTTGCTCCGTGCAGAGTGGCAAACATTGCTACAGAGGTCCCGGGTAGTTAGCGTCCTTTGGATGTTCTCTTCACGGGATGCTGGTGTGTTAGGAAATGATCAGGCGAAAAGACTGGTGGGTTCTGCACCACTAGGTGATGAATTGATGTATGACAAGCTAGATGTTGTGAGGGCTTTTTGGGAGCGAGTGAACAGAGCGGAAGCACAAATGTATCATTACGGTCTGAGGAGAATGGCGCTGCGGGGAGTTACAAGATCTGACTGACGCTCTACACTAAAGGAAAGGCGAGACGGATATAGAATCAGACAGTTACAGGTGCCATCGGAGTTGGAACTCTTGCTTGCTGCTGAAGGTTTGGATGGAGCGCAAATGGGTGTGTCCCGAGTGCTTAGATGTTGATTCCTAATTCAACATTCAACTCAAAGTTGTATATAGAAACAATATTGAAAGTTTCTTTATGCGTCCTCAGCGGCGGCAACAAAAGAAAGTTGAGCACAGCCATATCCTTAATTGGGGACCCACCTTTCATCATGTTGGATGAACCATCCTCGGGGATGGACCCTGAAGCCAGAAGAAGCCTGTGGACCGTGTTGTCAAGGATACGGGCATCGGGGCGCACCCTAGTTCTGACATCGCACAGGTATACAACGACTTTATTTTGGGGGTTCATGGGGATACATTTGCAATTTTATAATTACTACAATTTCATCTTTTCAGTTCTTGTTTTGTTTATTTATGTGTGTTTATTGAACAATTTGCTTGTCTGGTGTAAGACTGCGGCGTGGCCACTGTCGCCTATCACAACTAATTGATTCTGACGGTTTTTTACTAGCAGGGGGTGATTTGTATGGGTTTTGTTGTCTACGGGATCCTCGCCGATGCTCGGAGCTACGTGCATTGCGCTCAGAACCTCAGAACGCTGTGTCATGATTTTAATGTTGTTGGTAATGGCGGATGACCCCACGCAAAGGAAAGTTAAGCTCACGTCGGAAAACCATCCGGGAGCCACCAGTCGCTACATCAGCCAGAACAGAATAGGAGCTGTTAGCCTAAAACACGTGTATGCATACTCATGAGAAGATCGGAGCATTTATGGTCATGTCCTATGTGCGATGAGGATTATCTTCAGAATAAACAATGAACAATAAACAATGATTGAGCAACTGCCGGGTGATCGTGTCCCTATACGTGGACACTTTAAGACGCACGCGCCTATGAATGCGTCAGTTAAGGCGAAAATAGACCAGGAAAAGCCTTGATACACAACTTGGTGGAATCAGAATTGTTTGTATTAGCGATGGCAAACCCACAAGAATGGCAGTGTGGCAAGGGGATGTCGACACTGCCATTGATCTCACACTGATCTCATGTATCGCAGAACTAGACTCTGTGTGGAGTGTACTTGGTGATCATGGAAATGACCACCTACCGTGTTCTCGTAATGTGTTTATATATGGTAAGACAGAGTGGCTTTTTTGGCGCCTTTGGAGAAGAGCATGGTCAGGGGCCACCAGGAGTAGATTCATTCAGCCGCCATGGTGGAACCCAGAGGTGGAGCAAGCGTGAAAACAAAAACGGGTGGTAATGAAGGAATGGCAGCGAGTACGAAGGTTGCCATTTTATCGCAAGGGTAGATGAGATTAGCCAAAGAGGAAAAGAGAGTCAAGATTGCCTAGTTCAAGCTGTAGGCCGCAAAGACTAAAAAAATTTAAAATGGGAGCAGTTTGTGTGTTTATGTGTGTGTGTGTGTGCGTGTGGTGTGTGTCTATGTATCTGTATGTGTATAACTATATAACGTAGAACTGTTTCAATTAACAAATATTGGATATCGAAGTTTTTGTGTTGTTGTTTCTCGACTAGCGGGCTTTGATCAAAAGACATTATCGGTCACCTAACTGCAAGCGTCCAATATAACGCTCTAGCAATGTTGATGGTAAAGCTATCTTTTACGAGGATCGACCCGACATCAAAACAAAATACATAGTAAGGTAGACTGAAACCTAACGGACTGCTACCAGATGACCAGCAAAATAGGACAAAAGCCTTGATAATCCGTTCATACACATAGTACTTATACTGGAACTGCTTACATCTACTAAAGAATGTGTCGCCTTCTGCAGGTGTTAATATGTTATCACAGCAGCAAGATAGTGGGGGGCTTACACAAAGAGGGACGCATACCAAGTACATACACATAGACAGACACATATACAGGTGTATAGCCACGCAGAAACAAGCACGCGCATAGTGAAGAACACACACAAGCACGAGCACATGTATGCCCAAGCACATAAACAAATAAATAAACTTCTACAGAAATACACACACACACACACTGACCTTGACGCAAGTGAAAATGTACACCTGGAAACATATAAATGAACACAGATAAGGACACACATACACGATACAAATATATGTATAGCATCATCATCATTATCAGTAGGGTTGTACCAAATATTCGCTTCCGGGGCCGAATAGTGGACCTATTGACTATTCGGTATTCTGCCGAATAGTTGCGGTCGGGCCAAATACGAACAGTAGTTACGTTACACCCGCTTCTGCAAACACGGCCCTAATACTGACAACATGGAACGATTGGTTTTGTTGAAAGCTAATGCAGCTTTTATGCATTAACTAAGCTGTCAGTGACAATTTCCAAGTGTGGTTACTTGTTATAATACTTAGGATTCTTTCATTCCTAGTTATTAGTTACCACAGACTGACTGAAGGATGCAAAACATAACATGTTTTTAAATGTTTACTATTCTGTACGAAAACTAACTAGACATGGAAAGAATATAAACTCCAGCAACATCCAAGTCGATAATATGAAAATCAAATGAACGGAAACATATAAGTACTTGGGTGCAAACTTCAGTTGCTCTAACATGCTGAGAGAAAAAATAAAATCTAGAATACAATCTAGAGATAAAGTATACTATGCCATTCAACATCTGATAAGATCCAAGTGTCTGTCTCGCAACACCAAGATCAAAATATATAAAACGTTAATAAAACCAGTCGTTTTATATGGCTCTGAAACTTTAAGCAGGGGAAAAAAAGAGATGAGGCCTTATTACAGGTTTTCGAAAACAGTCTTACGATAAATCTTTGGACCCATCAAAGACGCAAACAGCGGGTAATGGAGAGTGAGAAGCAACAACGTAACACATAATCTGTTTAAATCACCATTGATCACTGGCATCATGAGAGCTAACAGACTAAAATGGTTGGGGCATATTGAAAGAATGTCAGATGACAGAGAATTAAAATTGTATACACCTGAGAGAGGAATGGGCGTAGACCACGAGGCAACCAAAAAAATAAGTTCGAGAAATAACGTCCAGCCAGACCTGCAAACAACTGGTGTCACAAATTGTGAAGAGAAGGCCAGCCAGAGAGATGAATGGAGACGAGTGATATCTGCAGCAGTAAATCTCAAGGGCTCAGAATGCTAAAGAAGAAGATGACAATTCTGTGCTACTTTATGTGAAGTAAAGGTTCAGCGTACATTTGACATTATGAATGTGGTTTTTATTTTTTTTATTTTTTATTTAGATATATTTTATACACTATACACAATTCGTGTTCGTATTCGTATTCGGTCGAATAGTTGGTCCCGTTATTCGTATTCGGCCGAATAGTTAAAATCACTTTTCGGTACAGCCCTATTTTATACACTATTCACTATTCGTGTTCGTATTTTTGACTATCAAAATTACAACTTAAACAAGAAGATCGCCCTATTACTTTTAATATTATTATTAATATTATAATTAGTCTGTCTCCAGTGTTATATCTGCTTATCTGTGATTGGTACCTTCAATATATATACCTTTTCATAACTTATTCACAACCCGACCTTTGACGCTATACATGTATGCTCAGTCATATGTGTTTCTGTGTGTGACATTTTTTTTTTTTTTATTTAGCAGAGCCAAATCGAGATCTTTTAACTGTTTGTTCCCTGCCCATTCAATGCCGATGTTCCCAAAACAACATGTTTCATCCCCAGTCAATGGCAATGACCAATAACAGGGGAGATAACATTTATCTCTGTTTTCCGGTTCAACTGCAAGCCAGTCGCTAACCATCACTGGTTCGCACTGTACACTCTATATATTATTTTCTTTATTATGCTACAGCATTCCAAAATTGGGTAATGGTCTATGTAAGCTATCAAAGGCCTTATTTAGGCGAATGAAATTCCCAAAAAAAAAATTGTTTCAACAAATTTTTCCAAAATAATTCTTTAATGCTCTTACCCAGGGGTGCCGCGTATGAATGCCAGGGGGTGCCACTAGTGTATGTCAGCGGGTGCCGCGAATGTATGCCAGGGGTGTCGCGAGTGTATGCCAGGGGTGTCGCGAGTGTATGTCAGGGGTGCTGCGAGTGTTTGCCAGGGGTGCCGCGAGAGTATGTCAGGGGTGTCGCGAGTGTATGTCAGGGGTGTCGCGAGTGTGTGTCAGGGGTGTCGCGAGTGTATGTCAGGGGTGCCACTAGTGTATGTCAGGGGTGTCGCGAGTGTATGCCAGGGGTGTCGCGAGTGTATGCCAGGGGTGTCGCGAGTGTAAGTCAGGGGTGTCGCGAGTGTATGCCAGGGGTGCCACTAGTGTATGTCAGGGGTGTCGCGAGTGTATGTCAGGGGTGTCGCGAGTGTATGCCAGGGGTGTCGCGAGTGTATGTCAGGGGTGTCGCGAGTGTGTGTCAGGGGTGTCGCGAGTGTATGTCAGGGGTGCCACTAGTGTATGTCAGGGGTGTCGCGAGTGTATGCCAGGGGTGTCGCGAGTGTATGCCAGGGGTGTCGCGAGTGTAAGTCAGGGGTGTCGCGAGTGTATGCCAGGGGTGCCACTAGTGTATGTCAGGGGGTGTCGCGAGTGTATGTCAGGGGTGTCGCGAGTGTATGCCAGGGGTGTCGCGAGTGTATGTCAGGGGTGTCGCGAGTGTATGCCAGGGGTGCCACTAGTGTATGTCAGGGGTGTCGCGAGTGTATGTCAGGGGTGCCACTAGTGTATGTCAGGGGTGTCGCGAATGTATGCCAGGGGTGTCGCGAGTGTGTGTCAGGGGTGTCACGAGTGTATGCCAGGGGTGCCGCGAGTGTATGTCACGGGTGTCGCGAGTGTATGTCAGGGATGCCACGAGTGTATGCCAGGGGTGTCGAGAGTGTATGTCAGGGGTGCTGCGAGTGTATGCCAGGGGTGTCGCGAGTGTATGCCAGGGGTGGCAGGAGTGTATGTCTGAGGTGCCGCGAGTGTATGTCAGAGGTATCAGGAGTGTATGCCAGGGGCTGCCACTAGTGTATGTCAGCGGGTGCCACGAATTTATGCCAGGGGTGTCGCGAGTGTATATCAGGGGTGTCGCGAGTGTATGTCAGGGGTGTCACGAGTGTATGTCAGGGGTGTCGCGAGTGTATGCCAGGGGTGTCGCGGGTGTATGCCAGGGGTGCCGCGAGTGTATGCCAGGGGTGCCGCGATTGTATGCCAGGGGTGTCGCGAGTGTGTGTCAGGGGTGTCGCGAGTGTGTGTCAGGGGTGCCGCGAGTGTATATTAGGGGTGTCGCGAGTGTATGTCAGGGGTGTCGCGAGTGTATGCCAGGGGTATCGCGAGTGTGTGTCAGGGGTGCCGCGAGTGTATGCCATAGGTGCCGCGAGTGTGTCTCAGGGGTGCCGCGAGTGTATTCCAGGGGTGCTGCGAGTGTATGCCAGGGGTGTCGTGAGTGTATGCTAGGGGTGCCGCTAGTGTATGTCAGAGGTATCAGGAGTGTATGACAGGGGTGTCGCGAGTGAATGTCAGGGGTGCCGCGAGTGTATGTCAGAGGTATCAGGAGTATATGACAGGGGTGCCGCGAGTGTATGTTAAAGGTGTCAGGAGTGTATGACAGGGGTGTCGCGAGTGTGTGTCAGGGGTGTCGCGAGTGTATGTCAGGGGTGTCGCGAGTATACGTCAGGGGTGTCACGGCAATAATCATGAATGTCTCAAAATCTGCTTTAGATCAGTCAAAATAGAAGTTTAAAACAGAAATGCCGAAAATTAATACAGCCGTCAGGATGTTGACCACATCATTCCATGGATTGCTGATTGTTCTAATAAAACATTAATTATCACAATAACACCTAACGGGCCAGTGGCGTGAGAAGTGCCTTTTCGTTTTCTACTTAAATGTGAATGTTTGACAAAACGAATACTGACTATTTGTTTACAGCATGGAGGAGTGTGATGCTCTGTGCACGCGTATTGCAATAATGGTTAATGGAAAGTTTGTCTGCCTGGGCAGTCCACAACATTTAAAGAGCAAATTTGGGCAGGGTTACACACTCATTTTGAAACTGGGAACACGGGATGACGGTGCGTTTTTTCCTAGCCAGCCTATCGTTGTGGCGATACAGAAAAAATTTCCCGGTGCTGTGGTAAGAGATCAGCCAAGATTTTTTTTTTTAAATATATAATCTTTCCCTTCTCTGTTATTTACTCTTTCTTTTTTCTTCTTCCTCTTCCAGTCATCAGCTCCACCCTCCTCTTCTCTTCTTCTTCTTCTTCTTCTTCTTCTTCTTCTTCTTCTTCTTCTTCTTCTTCTTCTTCTTCTTCTTCTTCTTCTTCTTCTTCTTTTTCCGCTCCTTCTTCTTCTTCTTCTTCTTCTTCTTCTTCTTCTTCTTCTTCTTCTTCTTCTTCTTCTTCTTCTTCTTCTTCTTCTTCTTTTTCTTCTTCTTCTTTCTCCTCCTCTTCTTCTTCTTCTGCTGCTGCTGTTGCTGTTGTTACAGCTGCTGCTGCTGTTGCTACCGCATCTGCTGCTGCCTCTGTTTCTGCTTCTTTATTTTATCTAATTTCAAGCCTGTTTAAACACTTATCACGACCCATGTGATAAATAATCCTGTTCCTGTTTCTTTACTCCCTTTATTAATCGCTATAATACAAGAGACCCAATCGTGAACGAGTTTAGCCGTGTTCTCCTGAACTATTTATGCCTGGAATCTGCAGTATATATGTGCTTTGTGGACATTGTATAAGAAGCAGTTGACTCGAGAACTTGGTGACAACTGGCAAGACTGATGGAAAGAGAGCAAGAGGAAGGCAAAGAGATGAAGACCTGGATGGCCTGGCTAGATGGATGGGGTGAGACAAAAACATTAAACTGATCCGTGATTCTGGTGATCGTGTGAGATGGCAAAACAAGACAGCCTCCGGCACGTCACATGATGATGATATTAGTGCTTTTGTCTCACATAGTGTTGGTCACTGACGTCATCCAAGTTCATTTTTACCGTTAAATGTCTCGAGGAAAAATAGTTTGTGGTCTAGAGCGGGTGGCTTGTGTGATGGAATTGTTCATCTTCTTTGCAGATTTCAGCTACAGCATATATCCAACTCTTTCTTGGTGTACCCCTTGCCATCCTCCCATAGGTTCTGCTGTTTAAAAAAAAAAAAAAAAGACTCATCTGCAGTTTAGGCTGGCTGCATTCTCACTAGGTGGGCGAACTATTTAATTCTTCGTCAATATAATCCAGACAACTTTCTCTCTAATGCAGGCATTCGTAACCCTGATCAACTGTAAATATCTACTTTAGTAAGAGGATCACATGACAGATGTTGCCTGGGTGGAGAGCAAACATATGATCGGTGGCACAATTATGGGGCAATTAGGTCTAGGTTGACAGGCGGGTTCAGATGAACCAAACCTTTGAAAGTAACAGTAAAGGACCTTTTTCCCAGGTTCTGTTACTCCTACTTCTAGGTGCCTAAACCCCCAGGTTCTGTTACTCCTACTTCGAGGTGCCTGAACACCAAGGTTCTGTTACTCCTACCTCGAGGTGCCTAAACCCTGCGGTTCTGGTACTCCTACATCAAGGTGCCTAAAACCCCAGGTTCTGTTACTCCTACCTCGAGGTGCCTGAACTCCCAGGTTCTGGTACTCCTACATCGAGGTGCCTAAACCCCAGGTTCTGTTACTCCTACCTCGAGGTGCCTAAACCCTGCTGTTCTGGTACTCCTACATCGAGGTGCCTAAACCCCAGGTTCTGTTACTCCTATCTCGAGGTGCCTAAACCCCCAGGTTCTGTTACTCCTACCTCGAGGTGCCTAAACCCTCAGGTTTTGTTACTCCTACCTCGAGGTGCCTAAACCCCCAGGTTCTGTTACTCCAACCTCGATGTGCCTGAACTCCCAGGTTCTGTTACTCCAACCTCGATGTGCCTGAACTCCCAGGTTCTGCTCCTCCTAACTCGAGGTGCCTAAACCCCCAGGTTCTGTTATTCCTACCTCGAGGTGCCTAAACCCCCAGGTTCTGTTACTCCAACTTCGATGTGCCTGAACTCCCAGGTTCTGTTACTACTACCTCGATGTGCCTGAACTCCCAGGTTCTGTTACTCCTACCTCGATGTGCCTAAACTCCCAGGTTCTGTTACTCCTACTTCTATGTGCCTAAACCCCCAGGTTCTGTTGCTGCTACATCAAGGTGTGTTTTTTTCCCTCAGACTCAAACATGTTAAACAAAGGAACAACATGTCATGGTAAAACCAGTTAAAGTAAAACCTTTTTTATGATTGAAGAGGTTATTTTCAGCCATGCAAACTGTTAACTGACTTCACATTTCTTTCCCCACTCTCAGGTGTTTGATGATCACGAAGGATATATCCATTTCCAAGTCCCAGACGCAAAGGTCAAGGTTGCAGACATATTCTCGGTCATGGAGGGGGTGAAAAAGGAGTTCAAACTGGAAGATTACTCCGTGCATCAAACAACATTAGAGCAGGTCTTTTTGGCCTTCACGAAAAAGCAGATTTTAGCCCCTGAGAACACAGAAGCCAGGGGGTTGTTCTCTTGGATATTTAGGATTTTAACGCGACCGTGTCGAAAAAATTAATTAACACTGCAACAAATTGAAAAAAGAAGTATGGATAGAGATATGGTTTTGAGATTTCTGAGGTTTTTAACAACGGTCAACACCATGGCACACGGGTAGTAACCCATAAGTGTTCCGTTCTTCTTCTAAGTCAAGTCTGAGTCCGAAGAAGCTCAGCACAGTGCACAGGCTCTGTAGCACCGGCGAGGATCCTGAAATACTTTGGGTAGATTTTTAACACAAAGTTTTGCCCGGAGCGCCATTAGGCTACTCTTTTCGATTTACAACTGTCTATGGATTTGTTTACGTGCGCAACAATGCACACGGGCGTCCGATCTCATAACCCAGAGAGCATGGGGAATTACTAAAAGTCCAGGCTATCCTCCGAATAGCGGTCCCAAATTATCGAGACCGAAATATACCCTAACAGGGCCTCAGTCACGGGTCAATTGTGCACTTCCTGGGATTTGAATAGCTGACTTCTGGGGACTATATTGCCACCGCCGAGAGTATCTCACATGCCGCTCACGCGGCGTAAATTGGGGCTAAACTAGATGGCTTGGACCCACGAGCAAATAAAATGAAGGAAGCCGCAGGAGATGCGGTAGCTGCTGCTCGTGAGTCCCAGCCATCTAGTTTAGCTCCAATCCACGCGGCGTTGGGGATACTCTCGGCGGTGGCAGAAATCGCAGAAAGTGCGCAATTTAAGTTGCCGGAAGTTCGCAATTTATACGTGACTGAGGCCCTGCTAAGGTATATTTTCGGCATCGATAATTTGGAACCGTTATTCAGAGGATAGCCGAAGTCCTATTCCACGTAAAATAAAAAATGCAGTTTTTACCGGGTATTGAACCCACAACCTCTAGCACTCAAGGCGGACACCAAGCCTCGAGACCAAGCAGCCCCAGATACAGGTATAGAAATACGAAATCAAAAAGCAGGAGAAATTTTCAGAGCATTACGAAATCTGAGAATACAAGAAAATTAAAAATAGTACCAAACTTAAAATAGCTAGCTCTAATGTCAAATAGGTACTACTGTATGGAGCTGAAACAAGAACATCACTTACTTGTAAACTACAAGCATTCATTACATGGTGCCTGACCAGAATAGGAGAAATTAAATAGTATGTACAAATGACTTCTTCGGCTTTGGGAGAGAACTATGTATACAATGTCAGTGAGTCCATCGGGTAGGTAAAGATGGCGTTAGATAGGGGACACGCTGAGATACCCTGGTAACGTTTAAAACAAATATCTTTGCGCCTAACCTTTGGAAGCTCAGGGCAGTGTACATGTTCTGTAGCACCGGCAAGGATCCTGAAATACTTTGGGTAGATTTTAAACTCAAGATTTTCCTGGGCAGCGCGGTTAGGCTACTCTCTTCGATTTCCAACTGCAAAGGAATTTTGTACCTGCGCAACAATGCACACGAGCGTCCGATCTCACTACCCAGAGACCAGGGGGAATTACTAGAGGTTCAAGTACACGTGAAAAAATCCCAGCCCTTACCGGGAATTTAACCTGGAACCTCTAGCACTCGAGGTGGACAACATGCCTGGAGACCACACAGCCCCCTACCTGTTTGATGTCCATCCTTGGTGTTAACCCTACAGACTGCAGTCCTGGGGGGAAGAAACTACTTACCCACCCACAACTACACAAAGTTAACTGTTGCATAACAATGCCAGGTGTTTGTTTCTTTGTGGGCTTGGAGCTCGATTTGTGGCTATCTGGTCATCAGGATGTCAAGAAAGGCAAGATGGACAGACAATCAGACTGATACTGGTACTGCTGGGATTGGACGAAACTCGGCTCTGACCGCTGAAGGTGGAGACGGGGTGATAATGGGAATAGCTCGAGTGTTGTGATGTCAGTACTTAACCCAGCCCAGCTCAGCTAGCATGCCAAGCTAATGTTACTGATTACTTGACCCGTTGCCTTCAAATGCGTATCTAGGGGCACCCCTGTTGGAATGGCATCAATGATGCGAATATTTTTTTTATCACCCCTCGGGGTAGAAGTCCAAACAAAAATGTGTTATTGCGCATGCGCATGAACATTAGTGGTTGTATTAAAGTAAAAGTAAAGATCCCTTTTGTTATCCAAGTTTTCCCCCTTGGCTTTTGCTGGGGGCCCCTGAATATAGCCAGGCCACAACTGTGGCCATAACGGCTGAAAGTGGTTTCTGAGACCTCTCCACGGGTGATCTTCATCCGCATGGTGGCCCTTTGTGTCACCGGGTGTTTATCGATTATTTTCACGCCTTAGGTGCATCGGATATATGGGAAGAGCATCCCATATTTTTACAGACCATTAGGCACTAGGTGGGTAATGTCGGCAGCCTTACGTCAGCCGTCTTTACTTCGACAGGACAGCCATCCTGGTACCCATTTTGGGCTGGGTCGACCTGCGACGCCCCATACCATAATTAAAAATCCTCGCAGCCAGCAGTGGGTTTCGATCGCGGTAAGTTGGGTTACGAGTCGGACACGCAAAGCCTAAGCCACGGACGCCGCCGTAAACTGGGCTCACAGCCGCTTAACTACAGACACAATCCATTATCACTCAAACAGAGCAAAGTCATATACAATCATGAATAAAGTCGTCAAAGAGAGAAGTCGATATAGAAACAACACAAAACTAGATATTGATTGCTCGTTGATATTTAAGTGCCGGTCTCCTTTCCGGTCAGTTCATTTGTTTCATATCTCAATGCCGGTCTCCTTTCCCCCAGTTCATTTGTTTCATATCTCAGTGCCGGTCTCCTTTCCCCCAGTTCATTTGTTTCATATGTCAGTGTCGGTCTCATTTCCCCCAGTTCATTTGTTTCATATGTCAGTGTCGGTCTCCTTTCCCCCAGTCCATTTGTTTCATATCTCAGTGCCGGTCTCCTTTCCCCCAGTTCATTTGTTTCATATCTCAGTGCCGGTCTCCTTTCCCCCAGTTCATTTGTTTCATATGTCAGTGTCGGTCTCATTTCCCCCAGTTCATTTGTTTCATATGTCAGTGTCGGTCTCATTTCGCCCAGTCCATTTGTTTCCAATGTTGATGCCGGTCTCCTTTCCCCCAATTTATTTGTTTCGTATCTCAGTGCCGGTTTGCCGATTTTTTTTTTCTCGTTTATTTTCAGGATATGAACAGTAAAGTACCATATTCTTTGCCTTGTAACTTCTAATGTGGGTTGTTGGCTAGACATGTCTTTACCAGTAAAACATTTTTACGCGAGATTTTCAGAAAGTCACAGATGTCGAAACGACATTGACCTCGTCAACCGAATGCTGGTTGGCTTGAAGAATTAATGCTAACATGAAAGCCAACACTTCATGACATTAAATGTCCTAGTGGCGTGTAAAGTGGTTCCTACTTGCATACTTCAGAAGAGTAGGTTTCTATTCTTCAATTATCAGTGGGGGGAGGGTTTCTTACATGAATGTATTAAAAATTGAATATTTATGTTTTCGAATGTGAGATCAACACAATTAAATTTTATTGCGAATCTCATGCCATGGTGAGTTATTCTTTTAACCCTACTTTAAGTATCGGCTTCAAAAATATCCGTGTGTGCGCCGTAGAGAGAGCGCGCGAGTGAGTGTGTGTGTACGTGTGCGCACACGCGAGGTTTTCCCGATGCACTGGAAAGCAATTTGGTTCACTGTAAGCTTCCCCGCCTGGTGAACATCCAGGTCCTGGTGTCTTGGCCGACCACTGTCTCATCTTTCTGGAACCATAGTTTTAATCACTTGTCTCTCCAAACTATTATGGCGTTTAATATAGCTGAAGTATTTCAGTTTACGAGAAACAATTATGTTTACTATCCACATCTGTCTCAGTTTTATCTTAATGTAATATTTTCGGAGCGATGAGATAAACGCACTGGTTTACATTTGTGAAGCCCAATCTTGCACTAGACGAACACACTCGTCAATAACAAAATGATAGTGACCGGCTACTTTCATCAACGACAAACTGCATTTCTGGTGGCCACTGTTGGCTTTGGCGCCTCTAGCAACTGCCATATGTATTTACTGCGTGCGCATATTTATTAGATGTTTCGGGTTAAGGTTATGGAGGTGTGTTGATGGAAGCACTCACTAATAAAACCCGTCATCTTTCTCCGTCTTCCGCTTGATAAATAAGTGTATGATAACTCAGCCCTGTCCTTTTCTTGATGTTGTCATTGCGGTTTCTTCTTTCCCCACCTCTTCTTCGACTACGCTCCAATGTAGTCTTTGCAATCGAATCATGACTCACCACATGCCCAAACCAAGCTAGCTTGCCACTTTTCAAAACTGCCAAGAGTGGCTTCTGATGTCCTGAACAATTTTATTGTTGTGACATATTTATTAGTTTTGTGTTTTAAATAACTAATTCGTAACATTCGTCTGTAGCATTTACATTCGAAAGCCTGGATCCTCCTACATGCTAAACTTAATTATCTCAGAAGCCGCCGATAGACAGGGATGGAAGAGGCAGAGAGAGAGAGAGAGACAGACAGACAGACAGACAGACAGACAGACAGACAGACAGACAGACAGACAGACAGACAGACAGACAGACAGACAGACAGACAGACAGACAGACAGACAGACAGACAGACAGACAGACAGACAGACAGACAGACAGACAGACAGACAGACAGACAGACAGACAGACAGACAGACAGACAGACAGACAGACAGACAGACAGACAGAGTCTAAGCAGAAGATACTATCATGCATGGAATCAAAACCCAGAAAATACACTGCATATCTCGCTGTTACTTCTTACCTACAGTAACAGTTACATAAAAGAAGCAGATAAGGTAATCTTTTATAAGTGAAGTACAGACTGAACAAGGATAAAACAAAACTGCCTGTTTTACCAGTGCAGCCGTAAAGTCGGAACCATATCTTTCTGTATACAGAGTTCCGGGCGCCGGTGACGAATCGCGGAAGCTTCAAGAAATCTTGGCGTTCTGCAGTGGCAGATTTGTGCTGTGACTGATAGGTCATTATTTTCGTGAAGAACAAAAAAGATTT